TTGTTTTGCCAGAGAACCCTTACTTGGTTTGGGTCAACTTGGTGGTTTGAACGCCTGGTCATTAGAGGGATCGTGGGAAACCAGCCACGGAACACCTTCAAACCACCCGTGAGAGGGAACTCAAATTCTGGACCATATTGCTCCTGATTTAATACAGGGTGGCCACGGTTAGGGTCGGTTCGGTTCGGTTTCTGAAACATTTTGAAAGCCTTTCTCCGATTAGCTTGCCGCTTTGGAACGGGATCCCGTGGCGGTGCTGTTGGCGATGCTGTCTGCGGTCAAAGCTCAACAGCGCAAAAAAAAGCACAAGTCACTGACCGCTCGTGGGCCGCTTTTTTTTTGCATGCCAAATTTCAGCGGTGTTTCGTGTGTTGCGAGCACTGCGGAAGCAAAAAGCAGAACCAGAAGCGGCCAATAATGCTGGTTTGTTGCCTTGACGCTTGCTGCCCCTGCAAACCTGGGGACTGTTTCTGTTCGGTTCTGTTCGGTTCGGTTTGTGGTTTGTTTTCGGTTTTCTTGCGGTTTTGAAAACCGGTTCGGTTAACCGGTTTCCGGTTCGGTTTTCAACCTTCCTGTTAATACGTTCCGGCCCAGGCGAGTTTGCCGGTTGTAAGACCAGCCAAGGGGGCCAATTCGCAAAACCATCATTTTGAGACACGCCAATGTTCTTACAATTTTTACCCACTACAAAGAGGGGTGAGTGATGGACACTAAGGTATTTATTGTTTGCAACCCTTTTTCTGTTGGGGTAGTTTGGTAGGGTTCCAAGTTGCAACATATACTCTTTTAGAAGGGGGAGCTTCCATTGAAGTGCGACCCTGGAATCTAAATTGTATTGCGTCAATGTCCCAAACCTCCACGCTTTTTGATGGGGGCTCCAAAATCAACCCAGAAAAAATGATGTTTTTTCCACCACGTCTCTAGGAGTTTTCAGATGCATTTGGCTGCAGGCCGACGACCCGGAGCTGGGTGCGCGGTTTTGGGAGGCGACCGAATGGAGTTTCTCAACTTGAGTTCCAAGGGAGGGTAGAAGATTCAGCAAGTGGTTTGTGGCTTAAGGGGGGATCGGTTGGTCTGGCCCACATTTCTATTCTGCTGATCGGGGCATATCATGTCACCGAACCCCTGGGTCTAGAACCATTCGTGAAAACTTCCCCAAACCCAAGTACCAACCCCCAACGGCTGCTTTAACCATGTCCAAAATCCCGAGTGTCCAAAAAACAGTGGTTAGGACGCTTGGTGCTGCACTCTGTAGTTTTTTTGTATATGTTTGCGATCCTTTTTCCCCAGCCCCCATGCGCGGCGTCCACCTCGATTCCGTGCGACGGCGCTGTGTTTGGCCCAAAGTGATCGGAGAGCAGAGGGTCTTGGTTTGTGGCTGGTTCTCCAATTCTTATGTCGTGGAAACTATTTGGCGCATTCGCCAAGATCTGTGTTTCAGAAGAGAAAACAGCACTCTTCTTTTTGCAGGGTGCTTTAGAGAGTAACATGTGGTGAATCTGGAGCCACCTGTGGCCCAGTGGCCGATGAGACGCATCGCGCTGCACGCCCGAACTGCTGCTGCTCTTGCGAGATCCTTCGGTGCGAAGGGAGAAGCGCGGCTCAAGCTTCCGCGAAAGCTTCAGCACAAGCACGCCTGGGACATTGGAGGCTGGGTAGTTCTTGTTGTTTTTTTGTTTTTTTTTCTGCACATGTATATAGATAATTAATATGTATATCTGTATATATCTGTATATATGTATGTATATATCTATGCGTGTTGGGTGAGTATTTCAACGAGGGTTTGTGAGTGCCCGAAAGCACTTTTGTTTGGTCACCTAGCTTGTATTTGTGTTGCGTGTCCGTGTTTGCGTGTGTGCTTGCTTCTGCTTGCGGGTTTCAATCCCGCTTTACCTGTTTGCCGTTGATTTAGCGTGCTCTTGTCTGCGTTTAGGAGTTCTAAAGAAAAAACAATGTTCCCATGTTGGCCGAGCCAAGAGTCAATCGGCACTGCGTGCGCCTCGTTTGTTTGAGTCATGAATGGGCATGCCCCGAGTTGATGCATTCACCACCCCGTGGTGGAACTGAGTTCTGTGGATGTGGGCAACATCGTACAAAATGAACAATTGTGCGAAAGAAGGCTGTGCATCGGTGTCTTCGCCGGCTCATGAAATCAATATTTCGTCCTGCCAGAATCTTGCCACGCGCTTTTGTTGGCGTCGCAAGCCCACTGCAAGCATGTAGCATGTGTGTGTGTGTGTGTGTGTGTGGTTGGATGTGTGTGTGTGTGTGTGTGTGTGTGTGTGTGTGTGTGTGTGTTTGTGCGTTGTGAATGTCTGTGTGTTTCTGTGTTTGTTTTGTTTGTTTGGGCTGATTGGTTTGTCTTGTTTATTTGTTCGTTTGTGTGTGTTGTTTCTTCTTTGATGTTTGGTGTGTGGTGTGGCGCAGAGGCGTAGAGTTTTTGTGTGTGTGTGTGTGTGGGTGCGTGCGTTTGCGTCTGCCCGTGCGTTTGCGTCTGCATCTGCGTGGATGTCTGTGTCTGTGTTGGTGTTTCTGTCTGTGTGTGTTGTGTGTGTGTGTGTGTGTGCATGCATTGTGCGTGGGTTCTGTGTGTGTGTGTGTGTTCGTTTACGTTGCGTTGCGTTGCGTTGCATTGCGTTGCGTTGCGTTGTGTTGTGTTGTGTTGTGTTGTGTGTGTGTGTGTGTTCGTGTGCGTTGTGTTGTGTTGATGTGTGTGTGTGTGTGTTCATGTGTTTTGTGCCCATGAAAGCTTGGGACGTTTTGTGTGCTGAGTGGGGGGGTGGGGTGGGACAAGTATTAGGTTGGTTGCCTTACATGGGATCCTCAACGTTTGACTCTGAGCAGCCCATGACTTTATTTTTCGCCTCATATTAGCAGTGCCCAAAACACCTAGAGGCCGTGTTCTACTACCTACCCGGAGGGGATTGTTGCGTCGTTGTCATGGAAACCAGCTACAGGAGTTTCTAGGGACTCACCAAACACTTGCCAAACACAAGGATTTCCGGAAGAATGTCTTGCAGCTGTTTTCTTTGAGCTCAGAGTCATCTCACTTGGAGGGGGTGCGACCACGTTGGCTCATCAAGAAATCGCCTGTGAGGCACCTGGTTCCAGGGTGGCCGTCAAGAGGCGTCGGGCGAAATAGTTTCCATGGCCAGGGTTCCGCTTGATATAAGTGTATGGTGCCTCCACTCCATTCCTACACTAGCCCCTGAATCGAAAGCATGACTCAAGATGCTTAGACTGCCATATGGGCGGTCAACTTCCCTTGAAAAAGGGCAACCATTTTGCTAGCCCGCTTTCAGGGTGCGGGCTGCCTCCATTCGGGCCACAGTTTGTCAAGCCAAATTTGGTCAATGGGGGTTTCCTCTAGGGTCCCGACTGTACAGAGGGTGAGCACCCCAAAAGGGTCGAGCCATGTCGAGCCCGTTTTGTCACCCCTCCAGGTATCTTTGGTGAGTGCTTGCGCCCTCCTATTTGGTCAACCCCAGAGGTCGCTTTCTTGTTGAGTTGGCGAACTCTTGGCTGTTTTTTCTTTCAGTTTAGTCCAGGGCCTGCAAAAGTCCCTGTTGAATCAACAGCTTCTCTGACAGGCTACCTGTGTGGCCAGTAAACATTCTAGGTCTGTGACAAAATGGCGGGACCCCACAGAGGGTGGGTTTTGTTTGGTTCCCCACAAAACCTATCTGAATCCGGTACCCTCCACAAAAACACCCGTTTGCCCATGATTTTTACGGGAGAAGCACCGACCACAAGTGGTTGGACCTCAGTAAACTCAGTTGACCAGTGGCGCCTTTCTTTTCCGTTTTGGGGAAGGTTCCCCTTTAAAGTCAACCAAAAAAAGGGACGCCCTTGTTTTCCCATGGAAATCCACTGGGCATCTGAGTAAATCTCACCGAATTCTGATGACCAAAGGGTTTTTTCCAAGCATCCCGAAGGTGCAGTTCTTTGTGGGTGACCTGGTGGAATGCTTGCGCGGCGGTCGCTGGCACTGCGCGCGGGTCTCGCGGGCGCCCACGGACGAGAGGCCCCACGACGGGTCCTTCCGAGTGAAGTTTGACGAAGACGGCAAGGAGATGAAGTGTTGGTACAAGGCTTGGGGTTTTTGAAACCAAATGTGTAGTTTAGGGTACCCCTCCAACTACCCATCACTCCATAATTTTGGGACAACAACCATGTTTTGGGTATTTTTAGGTTTGGGTCGACTAATGTGAGTTGAAGAGGCACTCGGACCCTCCAACTCCATAATTTTGGGGCAATAATTATTTGTTCATGTTTTTTTTGGGGGGTTTGGGTCCGATAAATATGAATTGAAGAGTTAGACGTCGTTTCTGACCCCAGATGTGGGCAAATTATTGTTGCCATGAGACAAGGGGCCCCTATATTTCCTCTGCATGTCAGCATAATTTGACGGGAGTCTCAAGGCCCAGTGGCAACGCGAGAGAAAGCAGGATTGTTTTCATTTTGTCTTGCTTTGGACAGGTTCCCTCTGACATCAACCAAGAAGAACAAGGCAGCTCTCTGTTTCCATGACACGGAGAAGCCAGATCAACACCCTTCAACTTATTTTGCTGAGCTCAGCTGTCTGCAGGCACTTTTGGGGGTTGGACTATTGTAGTAACAAAGCAATTAGACAATTTGTTTGGCCAACCCTGTCAGGAGGTGAGCTGCAGTTTGTGGATGGGATACATAATGTGAGGGTGGGTATGAGACGGGGTGCTAAATAGCCGGCAAATGCGTGATTGTCCCAACAGGAAGCGAGAGGAGGTCTATATTTACCTTCCCCCACTACTTAATACAAGGATGGAAGGCCAATTTTTCGGGGTTCCCCAGCCAAAAGGGCGAATCGGAAGCATAGGTGTCCTTTTGATCGGTTGGTTTGGAAAATCAAAATAGATGGCTTCCACTGGGTTTGGGTTTGTGCCGGGGCCATCTACTTTTTTCAAAAGGCCACCTACTGCGGATGAACGAAATCCTGCACCACTTTGAAGCCATGATTGAAACCATTGTTTATTTGGTCACAGGGGCATCGAATTCTTTTCGGGTTTTGTAGGGCAAATTGGATTTCACGTCGATCCACAGTATGTCCGGCTTGTAAATTATATCCCTTCTCCAATTTGCCATCCATTTACCAGGGCACCCATTGATTCCATCCATGTACCAGGGAAGCCCGGCGATTTTCTGCACCAAAAAGTGGCCTTCTTAAAAGACCTGGCTAGGGAAACCTCTCGATTTCTTCACCAAAAGTGACCTTTTTAAAAGACCGGACGTGTCAGGACCTCCGCAAGGTGTCGCGCCCCGTGCCGGCGCCGCCATGGCTCAACTCCTGGCAGCCCGAAGAGGCACCGCCGGACGAGGAAGGCTCCTGGAGACATCTGGAGGACTGATCGATGGATCGCTCCAGGTCTTTCTGGCGTCGTTGTTTGGAGGCTACCAGTCTAGGTCCCCCAGCCAGGCGCCCTTTTACCATTTTTTTGGGTTGGGAGGGTTCACCTACTAAAATCAACAGAACAAAGGGTACCCTTGTTCTAACCTCTCTACTGGAGGACGCGGTTGTTACCTTGGTTTCAAATGGTTTAACGGGAAGCCAAAAGGAAATCCCTGCTCCATTCTTGGGGTGTACGCCTTTTTTGAGACACGCCCGCCTTGTCACCTTGAAGAACGAAGCCCAAAAATGGGTGGTTCCCGGCAATCGTCCGTTTCCTTAGGTGTTTAAGTTTGTTTTTGTTCATGGGGTGCTGGCCGGCGTGTCTGATTGAGCGGAATCCGCTTTTGGTTGGCTTTTCATGGCAAACCAAAACGAAACCAGGCATTTTCATGAGGTGTATGTTGAGACACACCCATGTCCTTTCCTGAAACTGTCAGGGCCCAAATGCCTAAGGAGGTACTTTGGCCCCTTTGGCCCAAGCCGGTGGATCCGAATTCAAGGATCCGAGCGCATTTCGGATCGGACCAAAATGGCAGGAGGTGCCAGAAATCAATCAACACAATGAATTGCGGCACATCGTTCCGCAACATATCAGTAATGTGTAATGCATATGCATTAAAGTGAGGGTTTTTTGTTCCAATTAAATTCAATGCGCGCCACGTCGTCCAGGGCAGTCGCCCATAAGAACTGCACGTAAAACTCACACGTGCACCTCAAAGTGAGAAGAACCTCGCACATCGATAAGGTGACAAGGTTGGTGTGTCTCAAAATAGGGGCACTACCCCAACAATGCGGGTTTTCCTTTTCACAAATCCCCTGCTCAAGGTTCAAAAAAAACATCGTCAAAACAGCCACCCCCGGTGTGGCTCTGTCATCCCCATTTGGCGCTTCCCAGGGCCCCAGGCACGACGCGGCGGCTTCTTGGCGCCAGGGACCTCCGCGAGAGGCTCTGGAGATCTCCGCGGCGGAGCGGCGGAAGGAAGCGCTGCTCTGGGAGCAGCACCACGTGAGGCGGGCGCATCGAGCGGAGCGAGCGGAGCGAGCGGAGGGACGCCCGGCGAGCCGCGGTCGCCATCGGTTTTTGGTACCCTAGGAGCCCAAGACCTCATTATTTGAAGCCTTTGGGGGTTCAAGACGCTCATAATTAGGGTCTTGGGCTCCATTTTTGGTACCCGACGCAAAAAAGGCCAAAGAGAGGTCAGCCATTTATCAGAGAACCCAATCAACAGCTTGGTAGGAGTCCTAGCCGGCTTTTAGGTGGAGTCTGGCGAGTGTAGCGCGATCCGGCGGTGATCCTGCCCCAACAAGCCATAGTCTAGCTGCATCTTGGCGCGATCCGAGTGTGTAGCAAAATTTCAGCTTCCAAGCGTGCTTAAGACGTGTAGTGTCCCGTAATCCGTTTCCGCGTGCTTTTCCGCTGGTTCCTCCCGTTTTCTTGAGCTTGCAATCGGTTCTTTTCGACCAACCGCAGGGCTTGCGTTCCTTTTGGCTCTCCATGCCTCTTTCTCAGTTCTTTGAACTTTTGGGTAGACCATTTTCGTGGGACACAAAAAGCTTGGACTGCGACATCAGGCCCCAAATGATCGAAGAGCCAGGAGAGGAAATCGTGGGCAGGCCGCACGAAGGCAAAGCCAAGGGCCCAAGCCTGCGTTTGCAGCTTGCCACATTAGTGAGGGTTGGCTGACACAAAGCTGTGGCATGCCAAACATAGTAAGGTGAGGCACTACTGGAAACTAGCTGCCCGGCATCTGGCGTCCACTAGGATTTCACCCCTCAACCCGCCTCTCTTCACAATCCACTCATTCTGTTACCCAAATCTGCAGGATCATCATGCAACCTCAGCTCCGTGTTTTCCCTTGGGAAAATGAACCGCGCTGTAGAATCATGGAGCCCACGGGGCCTCAATTCCAGCTGGGGATTGGGATGTGAAGCCCTTGAGCCTCAGAAAAGATTTCTCGGCAGGTCGGCGAAGAAGAAGGCAGAGCAGGAGGCCATCACCAAGGAGTACGCGCGGCTGTGCGAAGAGCGGGACCGCCAGGAGGGTGAACTCCACTTCGGCCGGGAGGACCGGGTTGCGACCCCTCGAAAGTCAGCGTCTTCGGAGAATATGGTACGGGTGGTATAGGTTCGGATTGACTCAATATGGGTATGGAGCAAAATTAAGCCACAAGGGGACCACAGGTTTTAGCCCATGTTCCATTTACCAGGGCTTGTTTTTGTGGGCCCCTTGTGACCCACAGCCATATAGAACCGAAGATTGTGTCTTGTAATTACCCAAGAGTTAAGCCAAATGACCAAGCAGCCCAAGGCGAGAAGGTGAAGCCGGCAGAGAACTTAGGATCAACTTCCCATTGGGTCCTTTTGCCTTTCCTTTGCAGATGCTTGGATCTGAGGAGCTTGAGGTGTCCGACGATTCGGAGGAAGAGACATCCACATAGCAAGTTGCCGGAAACAGGGAGACTCGATCCGAGAGCGGCGGGCGCGGCTCAGCGACTTCGTTTGGCACCTCAAGGACTGGCAACGACTTTCGGCTGGCCGAGGTTCGCTTTCGGATGCGACTTCCCACGCCCTCTTGGCCGAATGTCCATGGCATGGCGAGGAAAAGATGGCCTGGCAGGATCCAGTCGTGGAGCGAGCGCTTAGGCACTGGATGAGTCTGGTTGCGCACGGCTGATTCCAAATATATTGCAAGACCACGAACAAAGCATGGACATCTTCAGAGCTTCTCTCGTAAGCGGCTGATGCCTGCAATATTGCAGGCCTCAGCCGTATCAACCTTTTTCTGCAGTTTTCGCTCCATGGTCGCATCTCGCCTAGATTGTTTATGAGTTGGGGGTGCATTCGATCCCCAGTGGAGGATTTCCGCAATGACTGCTGTATATCCAGGCCCGCATTAAACCGCAAATCACCCACATGTTGTCCTTATTTGCTTTGGCCTGGAACAGTCAATACCCGTTTGGGCAATGATTACTTTCTGCAGACAGTTCATTCGTTGCCTTTTTCTGCCGGCTCGACCAGCGACCCTGAGCTCAGCAAGTCTGAAGCCTGTGGAACCTGACCAGCTGACACGAGCCAACGCCGACGCGGGCCTTGCGAATTTTCGCTGGACCATTTGTTTGACCTTGGGCCGCGGAAAATAGATGCCGCCATGCAGAGCTGGTTTATGCAAGGGGTTCTGCCTGGTTCATGGGTAGTAGATTGAGGCTTACATAGCCCGCTCTATCATGTTCTAACCATGTTGATAGAAGCAACAAACAATGATGTTCAATTCATTTCAGCTTCGTCAGTATCAGACAGCCATTGCCATCCGCGTCAGGCTAAGCAAGATGAAACATTGTCCTTCTGTTTGTAAATCTGCTATCGCAAAAGGTCAAAAAAAACAGGACTTTGCCCTGGAACTTTTGGCTTCAACTCCTAAGCCCGTAGTTGGCAATGGTTTCATCATGTTCCAGTTGCGCTGTTGAATGCATGCGCGTAGTTGTGGTTGGCTTGTTCGGCAAGAAAGGGCGGCATTTGTGACCAAGTTGACAAACACAACTGTAGGCTGATTGTGTGCTTTAGGAACTAGTGGCAGGGGCTACAGAGCTCCACAAACCGGCATGGCAATCCCAGATCAGTACTGTGTAATATCTGACATCATGTTGTTTTGAAATATGTATGAGCGTCTAGCAAAACCTCTACCCGATGTTATTGTTTGGCAATACAAGAGGTTTCGCAAGTTGCTCATATTTGTTGTTTGGTTTTCAAGACAAGCGCAAAACATGTTACTTCATCAGCAACTGGCCGCGGCTTGATTGACTCGCGCACATGCATACGCATCTGATGCATCGGAACGTTTCTTCGCGCAGTGGAACACGTTTGTCTTCCATGCCCTGAACCTGCTTGCCCTCCCACCCTTAAAAAACGGCACTTGGGTGGATAGACCTTTGGAAGATTACTTTCCTGTGCAGCGGAACACGGTCATCTTTCATATGAATCCGTGGGTGTGCTGCTCACAACAGTTGGGTGTCGTCCACTCACTGTGGGGGTCCCCTAATTGTTAGACGGACCCAACTGAGGGCGCGAGAAAAGGGCAATTCAACATACCGTTGCAAATGGGCAAACAAATTAAACAGGCTCGAACTGGCCCACCATAAAAGGTGCATTGGTGAGCTACTCTGGCCACTCTGACGCTCGGACACCTAACCCCCAGTGAATCCCAATTTGGATGACAATCCTTGGGTAAACCATGGTGGTTATATATGGCTGTGGCTCAAAAAACCGGCACCAAAATGGAGCCCTGGTAAGTGGACACATGGACCAAAACCTGCGGTCTGCCCCTCCTGTTTGATTTTGGGCCACAGCCATATATGAACTCCGGACCCCAGGGCTCAGCTTGCGCCAGGAATGTTCTGAAACGGCGCAGGCCTCCGAGCTGCGGACCGGGGTGCGCTACGACTTCGCCGCGCTGCGCTGTCGGAAACTGCTGGCGCAAAAAGAAACCGCCACGGTGATCCACAGAGTATCATTGGCCCACGTTTGGATGATTTTCGGCCAACAAGTTGGCAGGTGTCGGCAAGTTACTATATGGAGCATTTGGGTGCACTTCTTTTCTGTTTTGGTGGATGGGCTAGTTAGACATGTAGCCCAGACCTCCAGAGGACCTGAGTCAATTGCCCAAGACGCCCTTTCTTCCCATGGAAATCCACTAGAGGATGGGCTGAGGATCAACCACGCTTGGCCCTGCCACAGGGCATCAGTTGGTCAGTGGCAATGGGTGGCCAAGGGCAACTTGCCACGGAACCTGGGGGGGTTCCTAAGATGCCGGGCCTCCTTTTGGACGGTGTTTGCAGGGGCACGCAAACGAAATCTCACATGTTTATGTTTATGTGTTTGTTTGCGGTTTCTTTTCTTGTTTTTTTTTTTGGGGGGGGGGTTGGCCTAGTTAGCGTAAGCGTTTGCCTTTGAGGCGATTCGACATAAGGCTCGCGTGTGCCACGGCCTTGCTACTCGACCTGGGGCTAGGCTCTCAAAGCGACCTGCCTAATGCCAATCCAGTGACCGCCCCCACCCCCCCCCCCCTCAAAAAAGTACTTTAGCAGGTGTGCGGGCGTTGGGCTTTGGGTCCCCTATTTGGGTGTGTCCTTTTTGTGAGGGTGCCACCCACCTTAGCATTGCGTCAATTTGAAGACAAATTCGTGCGTGTGTGTGTGTGTGTCCAGAGCTGGAGATTGCAAAAATCCGATGGAAACCAACGCCGGAACCTGCAATCAGAAAACAGCTGCCTGCCCTTTTGGGTTGCTTGAGAAACCAAAGTGACTCTCCAAGCCCTTGCTTTACCGGGTCCATTTTGGGGGTGTATTCTTTTGGTGGACCCAAGCAACGGTGGCTTTCCTCTTGGCCTCCCGCAGCAAACCGCCAACCCAGAGCCAGCCAGGCGGAGATGATGATCGGGCCCATGGAGGTGGAATCTGCACAGAAGGTTTTGATCCTCAGGTCGAATCAGAGGGCAAAGTTTCTTTGAAGCGGGTCAATTGTTGCTTCCATGAGACTTGGCTCCCATTACATGTGTGTCCTTTTTTTCGTTTATAGGCGCAGTGGCAACGCAACCTCGCTCTTGTTCCTGGACTCGAGTCACCGTGGCAAAAGAAACATGCGCCTAATAAGAAACACAATATGCACAAGCATCATGCAAATTGAATCTACGACCTGGTTGTAGTTTATATGGCTGGCCCTTGTTTGACCCGTCTAAGATACCACACAATTCCAGGGGGCATGCTGACGAACTGAAGTTTCCTTGAATGATTCGGCCTTCCTAGTAGGTGTTGCTTCGGTGTTCTGAGGGTGCCCACGTAGTCAGCAGTGTTTGACCGTGGCGCACTGTTTTTTGCCCCGTCTAGCAGATGGGTGTTTCTCAAAACAGTGCAGCCCCTTTTGGTTGGATTTTAAACGGAACCCACTGCTTTGAGATGAGAAGCACTCACATTTTGGTTGTTTTGGGCTCGCAAGGAACCGTTTACTCAGCACTGGATCAAGCACCTGGGGTCTATAGGCCTATTGGTACCTCCTGGCATCCATGGTTGAGGCTTGCGGGGTATGCAGAATGAGATCATTTTCGGCTCGCCGGGGTGTTTGATATTGGGGATCTTTGTCAAGGCTTGCTCAACGGGAAAGCCCAGCATCCAGTTCAGTCCCCAAAGTTTGACAGCTTGCCGCGCCTCGCTCAGGCTTAAGGTTCCTTTGCCTGACAGGCAACAAATGAGATCAGGGGATGGAACAGGAAGATTCGTACAGGCAATGGGCCAAGCGCTAAGATGCAGAGGCCTAGCTTTCTCCGAGAACAAGGCAGCGAGCCAATGTGGCGAATCCCCTCAATTTTGTGTTGGACGTCTGCAAGAGGCAGTTGCATTGGATTCCACCAGTAAATTGCAACTTTTCAGGGGAGAATTCCATGGACATCCGGTGACCAGCGCTTCACATGAAAAGAACCTGAGCAGAATTGGCGCTTGTCGCCGCCAACTGTGCTGACAGCAAGCCCCAGGCTGTCGAGCTGTCGAGCGTCAATCTCGTGGTTTCCGGAGTCGAGCGAAGCCGAAGTCAGCGAGCGAAACAAAGAAGTGGTTGTTGGTTGGAAGGCGGGATATGGGGACATTTTGAGAACCAGTTGGCAGACTTGGGGATGACCTGCCTACAGGAAGTCGCTCCCCGTATCTTTGTTTGCCAAGTGACCTTGACAGAAAGTTGACTGGTTTCCATGGGTTTCCGTCCAAATGCGACTCTGGGGTCTCAAGATTTGAACTGCCACAGACGCATTTGGGCATTAGCTTCTCATTTGTGAGGGAGAGCTATTTCATCATTAGAATCAATGGCGGAGCTAGGTCATGTTCGGAAAGCAGACCGCAGACCGCTTTGACAAGGACGGCTTGGGGTTGGGTAAAGTGCGCTCAGCATTCGCTTTGAAGCGTTTCTTTTGTCAGCAGCAAAGAAGCGCACTGTTCCTAGGCTTTGGCGGGTTGACTTTCCCAAATTGCTTGCAGCAAACAAGCCGACCTTGATTCCATACATTGATGGTTTGAATAACCACCATGATACCATGGGACTGTGTTTCAATGATAGTGGTGTCCATTCCAGTTAAGACACACACAGATTGACTTCGAGCTTAGCGACATTGAGCAATAGATGTGTTGTGACTTTGTCGTCTGATTTTGTTTCTTCCAGGATTGCCACACCAGCGAAGACGTCTCACTGCCTCAGGCACCAAACCCTTGGCGGGGTCGTTGATTCAATTTCTATGTCTTTTGTGAGGGGATTGCAGGGCGTCTTAAAGCAAAACAGCCCCACCCAGACACACGAGCCCATGGAGTGGCGAGCTCCTGATGTGATGTTCAAGCAGGAAACGAGCCTCTCCACGTTGCAACCATGGGCCCCCACCGATCGGGAAATGGCCCCGTTTTCGTACAGATTTGTCGCGCACCCCATGTGAGATTACATGCTTGTGGATGGGTAGTTGGCCCAGTCCAAAGCAGCCCTGATGGCCAAAGTGGGGGCATGTTTCCCCTGGGTCCCTTCGCTTGACTGTGGCTTGACTTAACAATGACTTAAGCATGGCTTGAGTGCCGTGGCTTATTCATGGCTCCAAACATGACCATCGTTTGAGGTATTTACACTTTTGCATGTCAAAGCCACGCTTATACTAAATATTTACTTGCGAGAGCGTGAGAAAACACGGTAGTTTGCTCTGGTGTTTGGAAGTGTGGTGAGTCCATGTCCCTCCCAAATTGACTAGGGGATTTTCTTGACCGAACCTGGGCACAAAGAGACGTCCAGGAGCAGATCTCGGAAGTGGGGCCCGGCTCGTACGACCTGCCCTGCACGCTCGACAGCCGGGCAGCGTCGATCGTCGAAGGCAACACCCCGGAGCGATGGGAGGACTCGCCTTCCGGGATGCGGGAGGAAAACAACAAGAATCTCAGTAACCAGTGGATTCGGGGTACGGGTGTAGCGGACAAATATTGGACAACTGTCTCTTTCATGGCCTGCTCACCGATCCGGAGGCAATTGAAATAGGTTGATCCAGCCAGCCGTTAACACCCAGGCTTCCTATGGAAGATACCACCAGGATGCTATTCAGACCAAGCAGGTTTGCGATAGGAATGTGTTCAAGCTTGTGCTAAGGGAATTACAAGCCTTTGAGGCCTAAGCATCCCCCTCCCGGCTCTGGCTATGTTTGACTTGTTGGTTCTCAGTAAAACTGTTTCGGCGAACGTTTCCCGAAAGAAACGACTTCCCAACTGCTGGCTTGGATGAGCTAGAGGGTAGATGGAAGATATCTATTCCAAACCACCAATCGAAACCACTAACTAGAGAGAAGCTGAATAAAAAATGGTTTGCAGGTGTCATTCCCTCATTCCCTGCTGAGCATCGGCAAGTTGAATCTTTCTTTTTTTGTGGCAGGACAGTGTTGAGAAGGCGGTCTCGCCTCCGTCCGAGAAGCCAATCGCCATCTCCCCGCCTTCGGTGGAGCGGGCGGAGAAGGACGGTGTGGACCATTTGTCAAAAGCCAACTACAGAAAGACGTGTGCGTGTGGGTGTGGGTGTGTGTGTGTATTTGCGTTTGTGTGTTTGTATGTTTATGAGTTATCAGGTCAATCGTGTGTTGGGTTGTCTTAGACAAAAATCCAAAGGAAACCGCCTAGGCTGCCCCCACCAGTTCGGAACAAACCCGTCTACGGCCAAAACCCCAATGTTTGCTGGGGCTATCCTGATTCCGCGAATGGTTTGGTGTGAAGGCTAGCCTCTTTTGCAGCCTCTGACCTTGGATTATTTTTGGAAGAGCCGGTAAAGCATTGGGCTTCGGTTTGGTTGCAAGTTGCGTGAAGTAAGCGAGCTCGGAACCCTTCCAAATGCTTCATGTTGGTGTTTGGAGAAGCCGCTTGAACTTCATCTCATGATGTTGGTTTTCAGACAATTCAACGCATGCCGCCAAGCACTTGCCCGAAACTAGCTTTGACCCGTCCATCAGCGCCCAATGGCTGTTAAGTGTAAACGCATTTTAGTGTTTACGCATTCCACGTTAGGCTTGTTTGTTCGGCAGTCCCAAGGACCTACTTTCTGTGGCCAAAAAGGAAACAAGCAAATGGTCCAACTCACAATCTCATGATGGCCTTCCGCAAAAGGGGTACCTCGAAAGAAGAAGTGGGTACGGGTCAAAATTAACCCACCAGGGGACCGCAGGTTTTAGTCCTTGTTTCCAGTTACTAGGGTTCCATTTGGCGTACCCATTTTTGACCCACCCAAGTGATCTCAGGCATGTGTGTATTTCAAGGAATGTCTAGGGGATGTTTTTATGTGTTTCGGGTTGTGACGTGTCTTCAACAGATTCACGTTTGTGTTTCGTTGAGTTTTGACGCTCCATATGTTTCAACCACGCAAACAATTCAGGATAGAAACAATCCCAATCTGATTGCATCATTCTTGTTGATCCAGGATTAATGAACCTGTCCTAGTTTTCTTGGGAGGGGGAGGTGTTCCCCTCGTGATGCTTACTCCATCCCCCAACCACTGCTTTTTCGCTACTGGGGAGTTGCACATGGGAAAACGGACAAGTTTGGGGGGGTGCCGGCTGCGGTCAATTCATCTGGGGCGTACGTTACGGGTGTGTAAACGTTTGCCCACTTGTCCAGTGGCGCCCTTTTTCCTGTTTTTTGGGGAAGGGTTCCCCCTGAATCGATTGAAACTGAACCAACAAAAGAAAGGATGCCCATTTTTTCCCATGGAAATTCACTGGGCATTTGTGTGTGGTTCCCGAGGAGAACCGCGCCCCGGGTCTCCGCAGCCCGCGTGGCAAGCAAGACGCGCCAGCGCGGCAGTGGCACCGGGACCTTCGCCTGGTGTCGCAGCTGGACATGGTCCGTGCCTGCCCCGGAACGGTTCCGCGGCTTTGGGAAGTTGAGGCGCTTGGCGCCTTGAAGTTGGGGGTCCGGTTCCTTTTCTGTTTTGTGTTTAGTTGATTTCCAAATAACCCACAAGCTAAAATGTTCGACGGGGATCTGAGGACATACCAGCAAATGGTTTTGGAGTCTGGCAGTTCACGAGATTCAAGCTTCATCGTACTTTCACGAGGGTTTTGGTTAGCGACCTTGATTTGCAGCTGACCTTGCCAATGATGAAGTTTGCTTGGCCAATGATGAAGTTTGTTTTAATTAGGTTGGATGTGTTTGTGTTTGTAGCCAAATCAGACATAGTGTGGGACATGGAGCCTACGTTCTCTACCCCAAAACGAGGTGCGTTCCCCAAAAGGAGATTGTCCTTATCGCGGGCATGTTGAGTTCCATGTTTGTGGGGAGGGGTGAACGTGTTGTTGGTGTTGTTGTTTGGTTTTGTTATTGGCTTGTCACAAGCCGACACATACACATGTTGTTAGACTGCGAATGCTTTCCTGCGGTCACCTTTTTCTCTTGACTCCTTTGACCCTAGGTACTGAACCACTGAGTGTTTTGCGCATTACAGAGTCCCGAAAGGGGTTTCCTGAAATTGCATTTGCACAGCCCGCCTCGAAAGGGTCCTCTGCAATCGTTTAGCCAGCACGAAGCCCATTTTACGCTGCCAAGTGGCCGTGTTTCAAGGCTTGTTAAGCAGCAGGGACCGAGATTCGCCATTCCACACCATTGCGATCGCTCAATCGTGTGCAAGAGTTGACTGATCAACGTATCTCCGAGCCGGTCCTTGAGAAATGGGCCTTGGGAGCTCCCACGATGGTTCCTTACGAGCCCGGCAAACTGGGGGATCCCTGCAGTGCAGTTGACGACAAGTCTTCTCAGAGCCGGAAGCTGAGCCTCGCTACCACTGAGGGATCGGTCTGGTGTATATACATATTGCAAAGATCTGGATTCTTGAGAAGAGCCACAAGAACAGGAAGATAAAGTATATATCATATACGTACGTACAGGTATCCGCCGAGAAGTTTGCACGCAAAACTGCAGGAAAGCGCAAGCAAACTTTTCAGTGCGATGATTGTCCACTGATATACTAGGCTTGAGCCCAGTCTGGCAGTATGACACGGAGTTGTCATGTCACTGAACTGTGGGAAGCAGCGGTGGCCAAAACGAGAAGCATGTTGGAAGGAACGACAATCAAAGCAAGAACCCCCGCGCATTCAATGGAGACGCTGATGTGGCGAGATGTCTGGAAACTGAGACAACAGTCCTGACGTCCTATATCAGTGTGTTTTTGGCAGGGTGGTCCCGTTTTGTGCTTCGCAGCGGCATGGACATTTCCGCTCGCAGTGGGGATTGGGAGGAATGCATATTTATGGAATATATGTATGTTTAAGTGTTTAGTGTCTAGTGTTATTTCTATTCACTTTCAAATATTAACGTACCAAATCAATATTACCAGGGGCTCAATATTTACCTGAATGCATTGATGGCGGTGTTTGCTGTTAGCAGTGCTTTGTCGGATCTTTGGGCTGAACCATTGTTGCCGACAGCGGTTGTTGTCTAGCAGAGCCGTTGAACATGCTCATGCTGTTCGTGCTTTCCTCGCGTGGATCTTCCATTCAATCTAGAATGGAGTACTTGTTTTTCTGCGCATAAACTTCAGCAGGGTCACGAGGAAGCTCAAATTTAGGAAGTTGCTGGGCACGCCCCAGCAACTCACACAGCAGAGATCACCGAACGCCCACGATAGGGGTTCTGTGCGTCCGATATGCTTTAATGATTTCAGGCTGGTTGTTTGCAGGAAGTTGCGCAGACGAGCTTGTTTGCAGTTTACAATTTAATACTCGAAGTGCACGAATTGTCCTTGTCAATGGGATGGTGTGTCCACTCCATTTCGAGAAAAGGAAACCACGTGCAAAAAGGTTTGGGCCCGATGGCAAACACCTGACAAAGAGGAAGCGCTGCGTCCTCAACTCGAACCTACTGTGGTTGTTCAGTGGCTTTCACCCTTTCTCCTTTTTCGTGAAGTGGGTTCAGGACCCACTAAAACTTGTCAACCCAAAAAGGACGTAGTCCCCTTCCTCTACCTTTTGGGATGTTCTACTTTGCTATAGGCTGTTTCCCAAATATCAACTGTTCGGCCATTTGACGATTAGTCTCCTTTTGGTGGGGGAGATCTGTCCCAACCATCTTTTTCTTTGGCTATTTGCAACTTTGAGAGCCCTGTCAGAACCCACTTGTGAGAACTCATGAGTTTCTTAGCACACATTAAACGGGGCACCCAAATGGTCCCTTCCTTCACCTTTCGGGCTGGCGCCGAGGAGATGAACTGAAGCAAAAGTCCAAAGAGGCCAAAGAGCCAGCTCCTCAGCTGGGGGTCGATCAAATTTTCCCTCAAACGGCCCCCAGGTTTGACCATGGGTAACTTTGCCCATTTGGGAAGTATCATTGTTTTCTCACGTGGTTTTCCAACCAATGGTCATCCCATACTCATGAAAGGACCTCTTTGGCGCATTTTGCCAAGGGATGTTAGGACTTTAGCTTTTTGCCAACCAATGGGTGTTCCGTATTAAACCACTAAGAGTTAGACGCTTAGCAGGGGAGCAGAAAGCGACCGAGACCTTTTGATCAACTCACGGATGTTTGAAGCTCCGGCTGTGTCGGCCCTTTCCCCGTTTGGGACAGGGCTTCTGCCCAGAGTGGCATCCCCAGTGCCTCGATTCGGAGCGGCGGTGGCGGTTTTCGGGTTCTGGGAAGGTGGGTGGCTCTTGGGGATACCTGGACTTATTTTGGATGGGAAGCGCCCGAGCTGGCGAGCTGGCTTCCTTTGCGCACCATTTCGAGTTGGAGTTGGCGGCCAGATCCGTCGATGTTTTTTACCACGCAGAAGCCATACACAAAGCCACGTGCTGTTTCAGCATTCGGCTTGACTCTCTCTTGTCCATGGGGGCATGCTGAGAAGCATGCATGATGGAATCAAACGGTTAACCTTAGTTGGTGGTCTTGGATAGGTTCTTTGAACCCGTTCTTGTTGGGGTCAAGGGGGGTTTCCTCCTGACCTCCAACCAGCGGCCTGCCAGCCCTATGATGGGTTTGTCCTTTTTCAAGGACACCTCCCAAAACATTTGTGCTCCTTTTCGTGTTCGAAAGCCAACCAAAAAGGGTGTCCCTTAAGATAAGGCACACCATTTTTTGATGAAGACACCAATCAATTTCGTATGTCCACTGCTAAAACGGCGTCTCCGCTCAGGCTGCAGATGGCTTCAGCGGCCAAGGCGGGGGCGTCTTGCTCAGCCAATGAGTTGCTTCACGGTCCAGACCTCCAGTGGTTGTCCTTGTCCTTTTTGTTTGGACGTGTTTTCCCTTCAACATCAACCCAAAGAACAGGTTCCGCGTCAGACGTCCAAAACTCCACCCTTTTTCCCCCAAGATGTGCCACTTCTGCCACCAATGGTTTGACGCCGCGTCACGTGTTTGACGCGCATGCTCTTGCGCAACGGATCTTTAGACTTTCACTTTTTGGGAGGGAAATTTGGTTTAGTTTTCCACTAAACCCCCCAACAAGTGGTCCACTTTTTGCAGGGCGGTCGGTCTCAACAAATTCCCGTCAAAACGAGCTTGCGGCGTGAGGACCGCAAGCTTGAGGAGCTGCAGCGGAAGCTGGAGGAGCTGATGAAACCGACCAAACAACTTCCATTTGCTGAAATGGCTGTGGGTCAAAACCAATAGGGTAGGTGCACCACCCATTTTCGAAAGGATTGGTTGATGTTCACTGATGGACGGGATTTTGACCCACAGCCAATTGAATATGTTGTTGTTGATTTTCCCTTTTGGTTTAAAAAGGATTTTAACACTACTGGACATATTTTTGTTTTTCCAGGGGTCTTAACCAAATGGAAGACAAACAACCTGCAAGCAGATGAGGTGAGGTGGCTATGTGTTTTGTTGTCGGGAACCCCCTGAAAAGTGGTTGGACATAAATCTCCACCTAAATGATGTGCACCAAAGGGTCACTAATAAAAGAAAACCCAGTTGTTGTTTTTTCTTGCTGGTTCCATAAGCAGGGAATGAGAAATGGAATGAACGGGGATTAAAGGAAGCCAAATCAGGAAGAATCGAAAGTTGGGGAGTGTCCTATATAGAGAGAGAGAGAGAGAAGAGTTGCTTTTTCTAAATCTTGCGCAGATTGAGATTTGGTGGCTTGTTTCATCCATCAATTAATTGGACTGGTTCTTGAGATCCCAAAATAACAGAAGCCGAAAAATACAATTATTTAAATACGGAATGAACAGACCATATACATACATCAAATTGGTTTGTAAGGATTCCACTGACCGGATAAATCATCCTAAGATATACATATACAACTAATAGGCAATTACCATACAAAAAATGCAATTGTAACATAAAACATGCAAATAGAATAATGCAACAAGGAGTCCTAAATGAGCACACTAGATATAATGAGGCAAGCGTTCACACAAGACATGGATAGGAATTAACTTTTAATGATACTAAGAACAATAGTGACAATACTACTAATGTTACTGCTGACAAATAAGCAGTTGACGGTAATGCTAGTGAACACATTAAGAAATCAAGGTGCCCGTGGGTTAACTCCCGGAGACAGAGCATAGTCGACGCATTTGCCAGTTCCCATCGACTTGGTCATGTTCAAGCCATGCTTCCGCTTGTCCTTGGTCCATTCCACAGGTGCATGTCGATTCACACTTCGAACCCACAGGCCCGAGCCTCTAAAGGATGAAACCAGAAGGGTGCTGTTGCTTTCCTTTCTAGGGACATGGGATCAAGTTTCATGGACCAAAGGGATCCGCTTTGTTGCTGCGCAACCACGAAAGTAGGATTTTTGGTTGGGATCCAATTCGTGGTGGGCCAGCAACATAAAGCCATTTGAAGGGCCCGACTTGTTTTGACCGGTAGACACAAGTTCCACTTCTCAACAGACCATTTCTTGACAGCCTTGCAGTCCGCGAGAAAAGCACCACCGTTTTGGTTCATCATTTCTTTCAAACAATGGGTCACGTTCGCTTTTTGACCGTGCTGATCACATGGAAGTGTCCAGCCCTTTCCTTGCTTGGAAGTCGTCTTCCAAGCAAAAATCAAAGGTGCACTTCCATGGAGAGAGGTGAACCAAGCTGCAGCCTCCGGTCGGACGAAGTTTCGCCAGGCTTTGGTGTGTGTGTGTGTCTTTCCTTCGGATGCCTACGGTCCCAAGAGGCTGCAGAGTCCACCCTGGCGCGGGAATCTGCATGGCTTCCAATTGGTGATACACATGCACATATTAGTGGTTGTTGTTCCGGAAAAGGCACCAAACGGGGACCAAAAAGGACTCCGAATGGGATTGGCAATTTATCGATTTTGTCCACCCCCCTTTCACACCCCGGACATGTGCAATTGGGATGAAAAAGAAGAGATGTGGCTGTGGCTATAGAAATTAATGGCGCTGTCTAAATGCTGGGCTTCATGTTGCCTTTCTCTCGAAGTGGAGTTAGAACACGTTCCAACTTGCCCTGACACATGGACAAGTGAAATAGAAGAGAATCTAAAAAAGTGGGGTCCAGGAAGGGTGTCTGTATTGTTGTGTTGTGCTGGACCAGTCCCACGTGAAAGAGTGAAACCATCTAGGTCCCTCGGTAGTGCCCTTTTACTCTTTTTTGGGGGAGGGTTCTCCTACTAAAAATCACTACAGAAGAAAGTTGGTACCCTTATTCTAACCTCTCTTGTGGAGGACCTAGTTATGAACAACCTAAATGATGTCCACCAAAGGGCCCCTTATTAAAATTCAGACCCAAATGAAACAAAACAACATCCGGCCTCTGCTTGAAGCTTTCAACAAATCCAGCCCCCAACAAGCTACCAATCTGGGACCATCGGAGCGACAGGGGAGCCACACAGGAGAACCGAGAAGCTACGAATATGGGCTCCATGATGTCCCTTGGAACTCGAACTGGGTTAGGCAAAGGCGTTTTAATCCAACCTTGAACCAATTTTGAAGGGACACCAGCAACCTGGATGTATGTTTAAACAAGATTTCAATGCTCTGAAAGGCAAAGTTCTCCTTTCAAAGTGCTCCCGAGTCGATTTCGGGCAGAGAATGAGCAAGTGGCGTCTTTGCTTTTGGGAAGCCCTCTGTTGGTTGGTCTTAAAGGGAAAAAGGCAAAACCGTGCGCCGTTTTGGGCTCCACTCCTACAGCCCCAAAGACGACCGGTCCCAATAGGAGCTGGCGGCGGACCGTCGCGAGGCGCACCGCCGTGCAGCCGAGGCGAGCGGCGAGTGAATTTGGGCGTCCGATGGGTTTAGACCATGTGGCTGGTCAAAGCCACTGGGATCCCATTTTGGTTGGTAGGTGAATTCGCCACCCATTTCAAGTCTATTTTAGTGGGGATTGGGATCACTGGGGGTACGGAATTTTCACCCATGTTAGTAAGGGACAATCCCCAAACACAAATAGCTGCGGATATCCGCCTTCTTAATTCTTTACATGGTTGTGGGTCGACCGCTTTAATACCGGTTTTGATTGTGACTCATTTGAGGGGCAAACAGTTTTTGTTTTTTTCATTTTTTAGCAAATCCACTCAGATCCAGACTTGTAGGTCCGCGGAGATTGTCCAGCTTTCCGGGAATTCCAACTCGGAACCCTTGACCAACAGCTCGGGGACGGAAGTCGGGATCAAGTTGAGATCCAGTTGCGCGAGATCACCGCATCCTTCAAGGGTGTTGAACTGATTCGAGGATCCAGGCCCTTAGTTTTTTCCAGATTTTTTTAAGCCCGCAAGGGAAGGAACTGCAGATCCCACAGAAGTAGCTTCCGAGACCCGGGATCTTCGATTTGAGGCCAGGGGAGGGCTTCAAGGGTGTTTCTCACTGCTATAGCCCAATGGAAAACCAACACGTAGACATCAGTGATTCCAATTGCCACTGTTAGTAGGTGACCAACTATTGTTGGCTCTAGATTTGATGGTTTCTCCTGGTTGCGACTAAAGTCCAGCACCCCCCGCCAATTTCCCATCTCCAAACTCCCCTTGGTGTCCAAGAAGCACTTCTTTGGGGGGTGCTGGCAGGGGGAAGGCCTATATTCGTTTTCCAGACCAAGACTGCACAAATAGCGAGGTGAACGGGACTCGGGCTATGCTCTGATTTCCAGTCGAGCTATTTCCTGCAGCTTTTGCAGATGCTGGGATGTGCTTTCAGCTTTTTCAGATGCTGGGCTTTCCTAGTGATGTATCGGTTAGGTGCATTGTTTGCTTGTGGGAATGTTTTGCTTGCTCGCTTGCTTGCTTGTTTGTTTGTTTGTTTGTTTGATTTGCTTTGATTTGATTTGATTGGTTGATCGATTGGGGGAGTGAGTGATTGATTTGATGTGATGTGATGTGACGTGACGTGACGTGATGTGATGTGATGTGATGTGATGTGATGTGAGCGATTAATTTGAATTGATTGATTGATTGATTGATTGATTGATTGATTGATGAATGGATGGATGGATGGATGGATGGATGGATTGATGGATTGATTGATTGATTGATTGATTGATTGATTGATTGATTGATTGATTGATTGATTGATTGATTGATTGATTGATTGATTGATTGATTGATTGATTGATTGATTGATTGATTGATTGATTGATTGATTTGATTGACCGTTTGACTGTTTGACTGATTGACTGATTGATTGATTGATTGATTGATTGATTGATTGATGGATTGATTGATTGATTGATTGAATGATTGATTGATTGATTGATTTGATTTGAGTTGATTGATTGATTGATTGATTGATTGATTGATTGATTGATTGATTGATTGATTGATTGATTGATTGATTTGATTTGATTTGATTTGATTTGATTTGATTGATTGCTGTGCTTTGCTTTGCTTTGCTTGGCTTGGCTTGGCTTGGCTTGGGGTTTGTCGTGTTTGTTGTGTTTTGTTTGTGTTGTGTTGTGTGTTTGTTTTTTTGCTTGTTTGTTGTGTGTGTGTGTTTAGAAGTTAATGCCCCTTTTTGATCCATGGCATTTTTCTCTGAGCTTCTTGTTTGCGGCTGGGCGTGCTGCATTGTTTCATCTTAGTTGGTTTGCGCACGTTGCATGCGGATTTCTGGGGTTCCTCCAAAACTACTTCATATTTTAGGGTAGACGAAATACTCACTTGCCCAAATCGAATCAACCTTTGAGCTTTTAGTTTTCGCTGCTTGGCCAATTTTTAGTCACCACCCTTTTTCTTTGTCCTTTGGACAACTGAGAATATGTCGCGGAATCTGAACATGTGATTTTCTGTGTACCCCACTTGGGCCGAGAAAGCACACCCTCAGGCGGATGGAGAAGTGGGCGCCAAGCGGCGTGCTCTTCACGAGAAGGAGCAGGCCAGGTTCCAGAGGCAGTTGTCATAGGCGGCCTGTTGGAAAAATAGATTGGGTTTTCTGGTAAACAGGGCATGAAGCCCATCTAAACCAGATGGAACCCAGCAAATACTTAAACAAACTAAGCGATCGAAGGGACACCTATGGCAGTGGCGTGAAGTTGGGATTGGGGTTGACATCTCCGAGGGGAAAACTCGCTTCTTGTTAGTTGCCAAGGGAATGCCTAATGAGTAGATAGTCCCGGCTTAGCTGCTTGGGGAAGTTATAGCCCACCTTGGTATCTTCCATGGGCTTTAGGCAATTTAACGGGGGGGCAAAGTGGACGTCAAATTTGGTGGAGATTTGTTTCCACCGAACCTTGTGAGGGTTTCCAAATCAACAAAACAATGGCCATGTTGGGCTTTTGAACCGACACGACCCAGGTGGCCAAGTATTCGGCTCCCTACTTTTCTTTGAGGTTAATAAGGCGCGCTTTGCATACTGAGCTTCTTCTGAGCGAGCTGGAGCTACGGCACCTTTTTTCCAGCTACATTGTACTACTAGTACTTGTCAAGCACTGTTTCCCGTTACACGCCTGCGCAACAAGGACCCCCGATTACGTAGCCAGATTCATGCCGTGTCGCGCGTTACATACCCTGAAAAAGATCATAGACATATGGGTTCAACTTTTTTGTGTTGAGCTTCAAGAAGCAGAAGGTGGGCCCTTCAAAAACGTATGCTGCAATATGCTACTTGTCTCCTACCGTTTGTGCTGTTTACTGTCTTCACAGCACTCATCACTAGCGCTGCCTACTACTAATACTGCACCGACTACTACCACTACTACTGCTGCTTCTGCTACTACTACTAGTGCTAATACTTCTACCACCACTGCTGGTACTACTACTACTCCGACTTCCCTGCAATCTCGCTACTACCACTCCTCAACTACTACTACTACTACTCCTCCTACTACTGCCACTACTACTACTACTTCTACTACTACTACTACTACTACTACTACTCCCTTGCTCTTATTATTGCCAGCACTTCTGGGTTACTACTACTACTACTACTACTACTACTACTCCTACTACTACTCTCACTACTACTACTCTCACTACTACTACTCTCACTACTACTACTCTCACTACTACCACTACCACTACTACTACCACTCCACTACCACCACCACTACTACCACTACCACTACCACTATAACTACGACTAAAACTACCCCTGCTACTCCGACTACTGCTGCTGCTACTGTGACTACTATAATTGCTGCAATCGCTACTGTGACAGCTACTGCTACTGCTATTGCTACTGCCGCTGCTACTGCTACTGCTACTACTGCTGCAACAGTGAATCACACCCCCGAAGCATACCCGCGAATCATACCCCCCCGTACTCAAACCTTCCTGCCGGGCCACCGTAAAAAGTACAAACCCATATTATAACGCCATAGTACTGACAATCACGGCAAAATCCTGCACCAGTTGAATGAACTCCAACGAAAACTGGATTTGGAAATATCTAGCGGGTTTTGTGCTTCCCCAGCACCACTAAGATTCACATCCCCCTTGCATTCCCTTCCGTACATGTTACGTATTACAGTATTACATATGTATCAACCTGTATATAATATATACATATTTAAGCATTGCACTAAGACACGCCCTAGGATTCAACCCCCTCAAAACGGAATGGTTGACCCCATTTGGATGATGACAATCCTTGGGTACACAATGGTTATGAGGAACCCAACTATTTTGTCATGGTGGCTTGAACCCCAGGGTATACATTCACCTCTTTCTTCCCCTCCTCCAATGGCCTGAGGAGGTGCAGGCGCTGCAGCGCAAGCTGGAGCACGCGCGGGCAGCCACAGAGGATCGGAACGGGGCGGTTGAGTTGACGTGGTGGGTGGTGTGGTGTTCCCGTTGGTGGGAGATGCTCAGGAGAAGCTTAGGCAGTATCCCCAAAAAGCAACTTACGATCCTTCGCACTTCGGGAACCCGAAAACGCCCACAAAACCGCAGAAGACCACTCCAGAGGTTATTTATTTGGGCAGAGACCCCATAGTTTCCAGTTGTTGAACACAGGTTCAAAACAGAGAGGAAACCTCGTCTTTGTGGGGTGATAAGGTTTCCTTTGTGGTTCGTTCGGTGTGGTTCCGTTTCGGGATCTTTGGGGTTATTCAAAAACGGTTTTTGTTGATCTGCAACTGACCTTTTCTGAGCGGTGATTTTGTCCGGGATTCAAAAGGGACCCGACGCCCCATTCGGAAGGGGTTCCCTCCTAGGCTGTTTTTTTTTGTGTGGCTCTTGGTTGGTGGTCTGGCGGATTGGTATTTTGTTGGTTTGCTGAGTTGGCAGAGTGCTTGACCACGTCAGCTTGATGCTTGCAGGCTCAAGGCTCCTGAAGCGGAAATCCGTCTAGGGCGCCGCGTGGCGGCTGGCCTGCTCAGGGCCTTCTTTTTTGGATGTCCAGTTTGAGATTTCTGCAAAGCAGACAACTTGTCGATGCAGTTTTGTTGGCTCCAGGAAATCTGCAGGATGACAGTGGTTTCCCAGCCAAGGACACCCTGCGACAATCAGCTCTTGGCAAATCAAGGCGCACATCTGTTTTGGATAGAGAGCAAACACACCTTGCGAGTAGTCCAAAGAAACGGCCCATCCATTCAGGAAAGTGAGCGAACTGTTCCATCAGTGGTAATACCCCGTGCTTCACCTTGGGCGGTTGGAACGAGGCAAAGTTGCAATGTGACCGTCTCCTTGCAGGTTAGTTTCGTGCTTCTGTTCTGCAGCTAGCTACAGCCTGATGTCCACTGCGAGCCACTTCAAACGGTTTGCGGGCTAAACAGTTGGTTCATGCGTAGAGCATATCACTTTCTGTTGTTTTCCCACCTCTACTCAAGGTTGTTGCCAAGCTGAGGCAGTCTCACAGTGCAAATAGAAACATATCCTGAGTGTTTTTGTTTTGCTGGACGGGGGCATCAACTTGGAAGGGTGATTCTGAAAACCTGCCCGATTTGGTTCTGCTCAGAACAGGCAGCTACGGTGGATGCCTTTTCTATTTCAAGAAAGGGAGCACGACAACCTTGTGATTGACCACAGATTTGTTGATGGGTATGGCTGGTGTACTTTCCATATTTCGGGCAACCGTGCCTCATGCTGCTCTTTTGCGCTCTGTGAGGGCTCTGAGTCGAGAGCGGCAATCTTTGCCTCAGGAGCGCAGCAAAAGAGCGGAGAGAAGAGAGGAGGAGCCGCGCGCTCAGATCGAAGCTGGCTTTGGGCTTAGCACTTTGCTGGTTCTCCGGCCGCAAAATTAAGTGGTTTGTGTGTTTTTGCGCTGGGCTCTCCATACTTCCCTTTCAGGCGGTGTTCAGCATTGCCTTCCTTGACCCTTTGAAGGCAAGTTCAACTCGGCGAGGGTCATGTTTGAGTCTTATGGGCAGAATGGAGGTGCCGTGCGCCGAAATCAGACCCTCCGGATCGCTGGCTCTTTTGCCAGGGTCATGTAGCCTCAGCGTGTGCAACACATCCCGCAGAGTTTCGCGTACGAAGGCTGAAAGTCTTGACATCAAATTCGTTCAACATATCCACTTCTCTATTCTCCATTTGACAAGGACATGGGGACTTACTCCATTTCCCACAAAATTGAATGGCCCACTAACTTTACCAATGGATTAAGCGCGTACGGGTGTTCCTCCTAATAGGGGCTTGAGCCATGCGGAAGTTTCGCCTACGACTTCCTAGGCTAGGATTCGGACCCCAAATGCGAGAGTCAACCATGGACATGCGATTACCTTATATACAACTCGTTGCCTTTCAATGTTCCTCCATGTGTCCCTGGAAAGGTTCCTTTCAAGGCTCCAAGTGATTTCAACGTACAGGAGTCCACCTTTTGAGAAACCCATGTATATAGCTGTATATGTATTTCTATGCATACTGTGGATGGACGAAATCCTGCACCACCTAAGAAACCATGGAATGATGATTCCCCTGTAAATACCAACACACAGTGGTTTCCCATGCTTTCAAACTAGTGCAGGATTCCGTCCATCCACAGTATGTATTTACCGCATGCCTCTTCCCGCATGGTGTTTGGTGGGCCGTGACCACCAAAGACGCTCTCTAAGGCACCGAGCAGCCAACGGCGAGGTGCTGAAGATGCGCCAGAGCGGGGACTCCAACCATCGAATCGAATTTGGGGACCCGGGAACACCGGTACCCTGAAAAAAGCGGGGTGCCGTGTTTTGGGGCGTCTTTCTTTGTTGTTTCTTCGGTGCAACTGGTTTTGAGGACGGGGTTTCCTGGTTTTTGTAGAACCACACAATGTGCGAGCGTGTTGTCCCATGGACATCCACTTGTTCTCAAGGGGAAAGGGGCTGGTTGGAAGGCACGAATGCCTTACCAGCTGTATTTCACATGTTTTCATCCCTCGCTTTTGCGAAATATGCCCTGCACTTCCGAGATTGACTTTGCCAATCGGCTGGGATCCACATGAATGGAACGCGAACCCCCCAATAAAGCAAGACGTTTTCCCTGGGGAAATCATGGGGGAAAACCGACCCAGCTTCCCCAGTTGGATGCTACATGCGATGCGCGCTGGGGTTCGCTTCAAAGTCAACCAACATGCAAGTCGATGAAAAAGCAAATATGGCACGTGCGTTGAAGGCCAACCCACAAAGCATCAAGAAGAACTGCTGATTGATGTAAAGGGTGTTCCTTTGCAACCAGCCGAATTCTTATGGTGTGGAGCAGGTCTCCCTTTGAAATCAGCCCAAACAGAAACTATTACGCCAACAAAACAACAAACTACGTCAGAGCACAATCCGACCAACAAACGACCTCAAATCAAAACCAACCAACCAACAACAACACACACCTGTCCCCAGCCTTGTCAACCTAATTACCCACCCAACCAACCAGCCCCCCGAGCAACTACCCAAGCAACCACCCACCCAACCAACCAAAAAGCAACACAAGAGCAAGAAGCAACCACCAACCCCATGGACCCCATTTTGTCCATTCCCAACTTGCCATCTTTCACCTCAGACCGCCCCCCCCCCCGCCAAATTTATTTGACTCCACTCGCACGAATCCGAGGCCTGGACGCGGCGCAGGAGCAGCTGGCGGCCTCCGAGAAGGGCCGCGGCGTGGCGGAGGGAAGTCTCCGCCTGGGGGTCCCAGAAGTCGAAAAGTCGGCAGTCGAGGTGGAGATCCGATGCCTTTGTTTTTATATATAATAATAATTGTTAAACAACTATATATATATGTATATAAAACCAATCTCGTTTGTTCTTTTTTGGTGACCCCAGACATTTATCAACTTCAGGTTGGGAATAGGGTGTCCAAGGGGGTTTAGGGGTTATTGGGTGGTGTTTGGGTGTGGTGGGGAAGGTGTCGATGCGCAGGCTGGGGGAGATGGGGGTGGACCCAACGCACTTTCTCGGTGTATTGACTTTAGTCACTTTTTGGGTTTGGACCACTTAAGTGGCGAACAACAAGTTGGGGAGCTAATTCCGGGCCAGTCTCGGGAAGTGAGCCAATGGGCAGGAGTTTCCTTTGGGCTTCCCAACCAGGTACCTCCCAAAACAATTGGACACTTTTGGGTAAGCCTTCACCAGAGTCCTTTTTCAGTTTGTAATGGACTTGAGTCACCTTTGGAGCTTCGACTTGGCCAATCCGATCTAGCGGTTGCATTTTAGGATGGGTTTCTGGGATAGGTTAAAGGGGAAACCAAGAGGGAAGCAGTTTGTTTTGGGGGCTGGGCTTATTTGAACGTGGACACGTACGCCGGTGCAGGTAACAAAGGACTCTTTGAACTTAAATGGGTACCATTTGGTTTACTCTCATTGTCATTGCTTGGTAACCATGGATTTCGCATGTGTTTGAGGGCTTCTGAGCGGGTTGCTCCGAGCTCCAAAACGATAGCTTTGATGTCCTGTAGCCAACTTGAGGCCAGCATCAGCGGCGATCAGAAGAGCTGGAGCGAGATCTTCAGGCACGAGATGTGCACTTCGCCTAAATGGCTTGAGACATTTCCGAAAGGTCTAAGTCTACTCCAAGCACAGCATGACAGCATGGGAGGCTACCAAGATCACTTTCCTCCTAAGGGACCCTGAGGAGCTGAGGAGCTATAGTTTCAGGGTGACCTAAGCCCCTCGAAAGCCTGCGGGAAACGAAAAGGAGATCCTACCGCGAGCATTTGGGTACCTTCCTGGAATTTGAGTCTTGGAAAAAGAAGTTGCCGTGAATGGGCGTGCTCAGTGCTTCAGGCTCCATGGGAAGTGTTCTCATTGCAACTGCCCCAAGGTTTTGCTGCGCTGGTTTTTCGGCGACCAGACCAAAATTTGCCAATGTGAAAGGGCATGCTTCTGATCTGCAGTCCCTTTAGAGCTACAGGCACGAACAGCACGCATATGTTGACGCAGTGTTTGTGTGCTCAGATCCTGCCCCCATCCATCACTAGTCACCTGGCATTAGAAGACCGCCCTTGAGCCTCAACAACAACGATTGAGGGATCGCTTCATGCACTTGACACTTGCATTTCTGAGTTCTTAACAGCATCCCAACACGTGGGGTGCCTCTTGAATGGTGCCTGCATCTTGTTTTGGCGTTGAAGTCTGCGAAAGAGGGGGTATCGGTGTATCTACCACGCTTGTTTGGTGTCTCAGATAGAGGACTCCCCCTTGTTGACCGTATCAAGGCAAAACAAAAAGCAAACTAACCAGTCACCTTCAGTATTGTTTTTAAGCCAACCACCTTCAGAGATCGCAGAGATTTCCCTACAGGAGATACACTTATTTGTATGTGCATGTGCATCTCAAGAGCTAACCAGGACTCGAGCCCAGGCCTCATGCCTTGAGGTTTGTAACACACATGAGGCAACAGCAAACTGGTACCCCGCTCGGTTGAAATTTGACCTTTGGTCGCCAAATGTCGCCAATTTAGGTTTGAGTTTCCTTTCCATTTGGGCTCCAAATCACTTTGACGAGCCAGGCTTTTGTTGGGGGAGGGAATTTCGTAGGGGTTGAAAACCCCTGCTTCCACACACACACACACCCATCTGAGACAGGATCTTCACACCGGCCACACCGGTCACACCAGCCACACCTGCCTCGGCCGCCCTGAAAACTGCGGCCAGTCCCGCATCTCAGAGCTGGAAGAGCAGCTGACGCGCGAGAAGGAAGCACGGCGCAAAGAACTCGAGGCGCCTTCTTGGGTCGGTTGTTATTTGGAACCGCCCCATTTCTGGGACCGGTTTAGTTGTTGGCCTTGCTTCAGACACTTACCACACATAGTCCCCTTTTGAGTGAATTGGCCAGAGGTGCAGACACTCTTGGGGCTCCCTTGTGACATGCCTGAAAAGGGAATGATCCAAGTAGAGCCGCCAAATATTGGAATGGGTCAATTTCGTGGCGGTATGACCTCCTGACAATACGGCCCACCCTAAACTAATAGTTGTCCAGCCATCTGCAGAATTGACACAAGAAGCAACGCCCGCGTATTAAACTGCTTGCAACCCTGCCCGAATTGTGTCCATTGTCTCAACGATAAATCCCGACGGGTGCATGGAGAGGATAGCAAACAGAGGTTGCTGACTATAAAAAGGGGGTTAAGGTGCCTTTTGGACGCGGATCACGCTTTTGAACGTCCAACTCAGTTTGGTAGGAGGACATGGTACGTTGCAAGCCATGTAGTTGTTGCCCCAGGGGTTTGAGGCTTCCCCCATGCCACATCGGGCTTGCTTTTTTGTTTCTCGAGGGCCCATGGGGACAACCTGAGATTAGAGTGACACATATATTCTGTTGGGCAACCAAATCGGCCCGCTTTTATTATTATTATTATTATTATTATTATTATTATTATTATCAAATGAGTATTATCATTCTTGTTGTTTTTCTCGTTCGGTTTTAACGGTTGTCAAAGTCAGAAACTGGGGGAGTATGTCTTGCTTCCTAAAACTTCTGCCACTTGAAGGCTGAGAGGCCGACTATGGGCCAAAACCAAAAACGCCACGTGCAATCAACACCGATTCGGGTAGATGGTTCGGTTCGTTTAGGGCAGTCGCCAGAAATCGTTGCGGAGATGTCCGGCGTCTTAATTCTTGAAGCATGGTTCCGGGATTACGACCATTTCAATACAATGGGTTTTGAGCACGTGACTCAAATTGGCCAAGGGCGTGAGGAGGGCATCCTAAAGAACCGAGCAAACGACTCCGGGTCTGGTTAGGCGAAGAAATCCTCGCATCGGGCAAACTTCGCAATTCTGAAGCTGGTTCTTCTGGACCACCAAATTTCCATACACCTTGTTTCTGAAAAGAAGGGGGAAGTTTCCATACACCACCAAATTCCAGAAAGGTGTCCAGGTTTCTGCAAAGAATGCTTGGAAAGAAAAGGAAGCGAGCGACCTGTTCGTTCTCAAGCTGGCGGACCCCTCAACGGGTCGTGTTTCTTTTTTGGGCTTTCGTGTAAAGACGACAAGAGGGTGCTGAGATTGGTTCTTTCCTTTTGGTTTCCTTTTTCCCGTTGCACAACTCCCCCTGCAGTATCCCCAAGAGATCCGCACCTCCCTGGAATTCCAAAATCCACCCCACAGACCCACACCCAAAACCGGCGCAACATACGTAGCTGTCGCAGGAAGCCTCGACGAGAGCCCCAGTAGGGGAATTCAACAGTTGTTGTGTCCTTTTTAGATTTCCCCTTGCTCGCAACAAAAAAACCCCAAGAGAGGAACCCTAAAGAAGCTAACCCTCAAGCATTGCCTTTAAAACAGGCCCAAACCCCAACAGAATATGACAACTACAACTAAAACCCCTTAAAAAGAAAGCTACTTCAGAAACCCCTTATTTGAATCGCGATATTGCGACTCGTTTTTGGGTTCATAGAACCTGCCCAGGATCCTTGGACCTTCCCCAAGTTCCCATGCCAGAGATCGCTCGCAGGATCTTCAGGCCCGAGACGTTGAGCGCTGCAGCCTCGGGCTACGCAAAGGGAAGCCGTTTTTGTTTGTTGTTGTTTCTCTTTCTTTCTTTTTCCGGGGGTTGGTGCAAAGCAGGGTTGTACCAAGGGTTTGGATCAAGGGGAACAACAAGGGGTTTATTCCCACTTCTGCGACATCTTCGGGAATCTTTCTCTCTATATAAGGGGGGTAGTCTTTGGGGTTAGGCCGTTTCTGTTGTATCAAAACGTGATTTCCCACTGCCCCTGGTTCAAAGAGAGATGGAGTTCTTTCAACCAGGGGTTTCTTAATCTTGGGACCAAATACAGGCCACCTCTTGATCCAGCAAAAACTTCTACAGTAACCGTTCTCGACAGGCTGAAACCGTTAGTCATGAGTCATGAAACTCGTATGGATTTAATGATGGAGCCAACAGCGCGCTTCGCTGCAAGTTCCGAGTTGTCAACTCAAAGGGAAGGACTGTGTTTTTCTTCAACCGATCCTGTTTCGTTTTTGGTGTTTGTCGACCGTAAACGAAGGCACGCCGCCCGTCTTTGTGGGGCAGTCCAAAGGAAATATAAAGGGTGTTTGTTTTCCGGATAGTGATTCCCCCCCAAACAGGCTTAAGCTAGTCAACTCCCGTATACAAAGTATTCGCAAGGCCCCCAATCGCATTCAAATCCTCCAGAAATAGCAGGTCACTTGACAAACCGTTTGATTGCACCTCATTGGGCGGGTCCCTCAATTCGCTTTTAGAACCAGACCTTGAGGGATTCATGGAAATGTTAACAGAAAACCCTTGGCCCCCTTTACTCCCTACAATCAACATGGATCCCAAACCTCCTTTTTCCAAAAGGATAAGCGTCTAAACAGAAATGTTATTCGTTGCTTCCATGTCAATCTGTAGGGGAGTCCTGGCCTGTGTTTTAGGGACCCGCCCCCTTTTGGAGGTGGAGTTGAAAGGGAAGCAACGGAAGACCACCATTTGCGTAAATGAAACAACAAAAACCTTGGCCCCCTTTCAGCACCCCCCCAAACGACTACTTGGTGGACAGTACCAAGGGGACTTTGGTTGCATGGTTGTTGCAAGTGGGGACGCTCACTTCCTGAGTTGATGGACTTTATACTTCTTGTGTTTGGACCATTTTAGTGGCATACCAACAGTTTCAACCATCCGTTTGGGCCATCTCGATCGGAAGGGACCCAGGTGCTGTATGGCTTATGGAATCTATCACTGGACATATCTTCTCATCTTTTCCAGGCAAAAAAGCAACTGAGTCACAAGCAAAACCCGGGTACTTGGAGGGTAAGGGACAATCGCCACACATGGGCGCGGAATTCCACCTTCTCTCAATTCTTTACATTCTGGCTCCCGACCATTTGGGTATGGGTCAAAATTAGACCAGGAATTGGACCGCAGGTTTTAGTCTTTGGTTCCATTCACCAGGGTTCCCAAAATACCTTTTTTTTGACTCACAGCCATTTGAATGCAGATCGGTTTTGATTCTGACTCAAATGGACATTTTAATACTGGGTTTTGGATTCTGACTGGCCGTAGTGTGTCACGGTTTCCAGCTGAAAAAGCAAATATTCCGCCTTTTCTGAATTCTGGCAACATGTTTCTGGGTCCCGGACCATGACTCAAATGGACGCCAGAGACGGGCTTGTCCGTCTTGGGCCGCGTTTTCAGCGCTGAGGCGCGTCGGGGGCGACGGCCCTGCAGGCTGCACGAGCGCAGTGCCAGGAGCTGCAAGGCGAGAGGAAGGGTTTTAGACCCGGACCCGTTGGGGTGCTTTGCCTTTTCTTTTCGTTTTTTTTTTGTTCGGGGGGGAGGTAAGAGAAGGGCGTGTCTTAAGGCTATTAAGGGGTGGCTCGTCTTTGTTGGTTACCTTGTTTTTTGTGTGATGATCTTTCCTCTTTTCTTTTTTTGGGGGTTGGTAGGATAAGGGTGGCTCGTCTTTTTGCTGAGGGTACCTTCTTTTTTGGGTAGTTCAAAAGGGAAACCAAGAGGAAACTAATCCATACTTTGCATGGGGGGGGGATTGGACAGGAGTAATCTGTTACTAATTTTCAGGAAGAGGGACAGCCGAGTTTCCGCAACCAGGGACACCACCCACATCCCAAAGTTCTCCGCTGTAAAGTCAAGGGCGATGGGATGTGGCTGTGGGTCAAAACTAATGGGATCCCATTTATTTGGGTTGGTAGGTGAATTCACAACCCATTTTAGAACCTACTTTAGTGGTTGGATTGAATCGGATGTTCACTGGGGGATAACCGGGCTTTGCATTTTGACCCATGGCCATGTGGGGCGCAAAGCCAAAGGTCTGTAGCTGGTGCGAGGCAAAATCCTCCAGCTGGAGGACCAGTTGGTGCAGAAGACCTCTGCAGCCCTTGCCTTGGCTTTCGGCTGGTGGGAGTTGTGCTTCTTTCTTTGGTTGATTGTTTGTGGGGGGATTCTTGGAGGAAGAATGTTTTTTTTTCCCCCCTGTTTGTTCTGGTTTTTGTTTTTTTCTCGGGGGGGGGGGTGATTGTTTGTGGGGGGATTCTTTGAGGGAGAAGGGTTGTTGGGGGGGTCTTCTTTTTGTTTTTTGTTTTTTTTTGGGGGGGGTTGATTGTTTGTGGGGGGATTCTTTGAGGGAGAAGGGTTGTTTGCGGGGGGTTCTTCTTGTTGTTCTTTGTTTCTTGTTTGTTTTTTTTTGGGGGGGGTGATTGTTTGTGGGGGGCATTGTGTGTGCTGCTTGTTCGGGGGTGGGGGGGTTTGCGTTGGGGGGGGATTTGATTTGCCATGCTCACACCCTGACTTATGAAAGGGCTTACCCCTCAAAAGGGACACGCTCTTCACACATGTATATCCCGGGAGAATTTATAGCGCGCATTCCTGCGGGACGGAGCCAGATGAGTCCAGGTGCAAGCTGCAGAGCTTCAGGAAACAGCCAGGGCAGAGCAGCAGGGCAAGATGGAGGACGGCTTGGTAGGGATCTCATTGGTGTTGGGTTCCGTTGTCCAGAAGTTCAAGGGTCCCTTTTTAGAGTGCAATCAGCTGCCATTCGACCACATGGATGTGATTCTGTATGCAGCCCGCATCTGGCGGGCAAGCCGCAGAGAGACTGATATGGGCTGTGGGCGACACTGCGCATGTCTACATCAAGTCGGCGTGGCATGGGTTGCAAAAGCATCATCAGATTTCTCAGATGGAGATGGATCGCCTCTCACGTCAAAAGTCATCAAAGGCAAGACGCTGCAGGGATAGGCAACCCAAGTACCCATGTAAATACCTTCATGGGGCTTCTTTGGTCCGTTGCCCCCAATAAACAAGCACTTGGTCCCTGTGTGCTAGTACCCACAGTGCCTTGTTTGCTTTGGGGCCCTTATTTGGCCCGTTACAAGGAGCAACTGCAACTAGTGAACGACACTCACACACTCACCCAAGGCAACACAGTGGTTCACGCACAGAAGTATTATACGCGGAGATATGGATGTGTGTGTGTGTGTGGTGTGTGTGTGTGTGTGTGTGGGTGTGCGTGTGCGTGTGCGTGTGTCTGTGTGTGTCTGTGTGTGTCTGTGTGTGTGTGTCTGTGTGTATCTGTGTGCGCGTGTGCGTGCGCGTGCGCGTGTGCGTGTGCGTGTGCGTGTGCGTGTGCGTGTGCGTGTGTGCGTGTGTGCGTGCGCGTGTGCGCGTGTGTGTGTGTGCGTGTGTGTGTGCGTATGTGTGCGTGTGTGTGCGCATGTGTGTGCGTGTTTGCGTGTGTGCGTGTGTGCGTGTGTGCGTGTGTGCGTGTGTGCGTGTGTGCGTGCGTGTGTGCGTGTGTGCGTGTGTGCGTGTGTGCGTGTGTGTGCGTGTGTGTGCGCATGTGTGTGCGTGTTTGCGTGTGTGCGTGTGTGCGTGTGTGCGTGTGTGCGTGTGTGCGTGCGTGTGTGCGTGTGTGCGTGTGTGCGTGTGTGCGTGTGTCTGCGTGTGTGCGTGTGGGTGTGTGCGTGTGCGTGCGTGTGCGTGTGCGTGTGTGTGTGTGTGTGTGTGTGTGTGTGTGTGTGTGTGTGTGTGTGCGGGTGCGTGTGGCTGCGTGTGTGTGTGTGTGTGGGTGCGTGCGTGCGTGCGTGCGTGCGTGCGTGCGTGCGTGCGTGCGTGCGTGCGTGCGTGCGTGCGTGCGTGCGCGTGCGTGCGTGCGTGCGTGCGTGCGTGTGTGTGTGTGTGGGTGCGCGCGTGCGTGCGTGCGTGCGTGCGTGCGTGCGTGCGTGCGTGCGTGCGTGCGTGCGTGGGTGTGTGTGTGTGTGGGTGTGCGTGTGCGTGTGCGTGTGCGTGTGGGTGTGTGTGTGTGTGTGTTCGTGTTCGTGTTTCTTGTTTACTTTGTTTTCTACACTATTTCATACACGCCCAGATATAGTGTTTGTGTTTCTTGTTTACTTTTGTTATGTATTTATACACTATCTCATGCACGCCGAGATGTAGATGTGTGTGTATGTCTCTTACCTTCTTTTTAAACATGCACTATTTCACTTTGCGCATGCAAGTGTTTGTGACCATAGCTGAACGGTTTTTTCCGCACTATTTCATACACGTATTTCTGCTGCTCTTAGCCTTCATGCGGCCAATTCAACGCCGTTTTTTGGCTCCGCTGAGCAGGAGGAGCTGCATTCCCTTCGGGCAGCCGCCGAGGCGTGCCGCGCATTTAAGTCCCCAGCAATCCGGTTCCTTAGCCGTTTGGCTTTTTAGTGTTTAGTGGTAGTTTCCATTTAACCCACTAAAAGTTAGTCACGTTTTGCGGGAATCTGAGGGCAGCCCAGTTTTTTTCTCGTTTTTTTTTGCGGGGAGCCGCTTTTGCTTGGCTTGAGATCAAGAAACTAAAAAACACCAACCATTTTGGGGTTCCCTTCAGTTGAGACGACCCCTTAAGATTGGCTCGCCCCTTGAACTCACAGTCAGCCGCGTTGGAGGTTGTGCTTGTAATGAGTTGTGTATGGCTGCGCGTAAGAAATCGGTGTCCAATATGGAACCCTGATAAATGTAAACATGCACTAAAACCTGCGATTATATTGGCCCATGACCACTGGAAGGTTGCGCCTGGCGCTCGTGACATTGCCTTTCTGAGTTTTTCCGCGGCTTGCAAATTTGCTTTTGAGACGGAATAGAAGGGATGAAATCGCAGGGAGCTCGCATCTACCCTTCCTCTCAACATAGCAACGGGAGGGGACCGGGAAGATCAATTGCCAGTTGCCATGGTGGAAGGGAGGGTAACCGGCTATTCCACATGGAAGCTGGCTGAAGGCTTCGCAAAGTTTTTTAGATTCGATGTACTAGGCCAATCGAACAAACAGACCTCCAGGTCCTTGATGGCAAGAAGTTGAGCAGTGCTTCAAATTGCAGGTGAGGTGAACCAATCTTGGTGGCTCCCAGCCATCCGGTTCCTTTGCTTTTTAGCATGTTAGGTTTTTAGTGTGTAGGGTGTTCCATGTAGCCCACTGAAAGTTGAACTTTTAGCAATCTCAGGAGAGCCGAGTTTTGATCAGGTAGCTTCATGAAATGGGCGGGGTTCATCAAGAGCACATTCTTCACGGGTGCTTAGGCTAAGCATCAATATCCGTGTTTGTTGCATGCTTGCTGTTTTCCGTGTCAAGTAATCTTAAAAGGGTACCCTCAAGACAACACACGCACATGTGGCTGTGGGTTTTGAACCAATGGTACCATTTCGGTGTAGATTTTAGTGGGGATTGGGATGTTCGCTGGGGGTACGGGATTTTGACCCCATGGCCATGTATAGCCAATTCCGGGGTGGCTACTCTTGCGCAGCTGGTCTCAGGCGTCCACTGGTGCCCTGCAAAGATCAGAGGCTTGTCGAGAGGCAGGGGCGCAAGAAGCACCCGGGATGGAAGATCCCTCCCTGCTCGTGTTTTGGGTGCAGCTTTCTCTTATGGTCAAAAGGGGTGATGGGTGAAATGAGCCAACAGGTTGAGGGTCGTAGGCCAAGGGCCGTGGTCTCGGTTAGGTGTCGTGCAGGATTCTTCTGTTTTTCCGGGGTTTGGTTCCAAACACTCTGAGAGTGTCCTGATTCAAGAGCATTGCCATCTCACGGGCTCAGTCACATTAGTTACATGGTGAGCATGACGGTGCTTGAGTGAGAGCTCCAGATGTTCGTCAGTTGCATTAGTGATGTTGGATATCGTTAGGAAGGTGAAATGCCTTCCCCATCCAGAGTTGGATGTTGACGAGGAGCTGACAAAATCAGGTGCCCCTTGTTGTGACCTGAGTTTCTCAACGGGGTGCCGGCTTGAAGGGCTTGCAAAAGAGGACGAGTGAGTTTGAACCCCCGAAGCACACATGGGGGGGAGTGTCGTTTGTGTTATCTCACACCAACCCGCAGCAAAGGGTACCCTAGCAAAAAGCCAATATATGCTGCCCTTCTTTTTGGTGTTACTTCCAAACAAGGCTTGGGAAAAGGGGACATTGACAAATTGAGCAAACAAACAATACGCCCAGGTGGTATCCCCAACAGCCCAAACCGGGAAGCCTCCAGAAATCTCCAGAATTGTCCGTAACCCTCCCCAACCCTCCGCCCTCCCTGAAAGCAGCCCTATCTGGGCAGAGACCAAAGCCATAGCTTACAGGAGTTGCAGCGGCAGCTGGCGAGCGAACAGACCCTGCGCCAGGCGCTGGCTGTATGGCTAAGTGGGATTTTCCGAATTGGACCCGCAAAAGTTGTTGTTGCTTCTCTTTCTTGTCTGTTCTTGCGGAGTGTTGGCAAAGTCTAACGCTCGAACATTGTGTATGCTTGTATAGTGTGTTTGCATCTGTATACTGTATATAACATATACATATATATATATATATACATATGTATGTGTATATTTATATACATGCATAGAACATAATATGCACAAGCACGTGGGCAAGCACGTGTGTTCATGCTGTGCTGCTGCCACTGCCCAGCCTCCTAGAGCGGATTTGCGATGGGCGGATTCATGGGGGTGGGGTGGGGTGGGGTGGGGTGGGGTGGGTGTGGGTGGGGTGGGGTGGGGTGGGTGGGGTGGGGGTGGGGGTGGGGTGGGGTGGGGTGGGGGTGGGGTGGGTGGTGGGGGGGGTGGGGTGGGGTGGGGGTGGGGGTGGGGTGGGGTGGGGTGGAGGTGCTGTGGGTGGGGTGTGGGTGTGGGGTGTGGGGTGTGGGGTGTGTGGGTGTGGGTGTGGGGGTGTGGGGGTGTGGGGGTGTGGGGGTGGGTGGGTGGGGGTGGGGGTGGGGTGGGGGTGGGGGTGGGGTGGGGGTGGGGTGGGGTGGAGGTGCTGTGGGTGGGGTGTGGGTGTGTGGGGTGTGGGGTGTGGGGTGTGGGGTGTGGGGTGTGGGGTGTGGGGGTGTGGGGTGTGGGGTGTGGGTGTGGGTGTGGGGGTGGGGTGGGGTGGGGTGGGGGTGGGGGTGGGGTGGAGGTGCTGTGGGTGTGGGGTGTGGGGTGTGGGGTGTGGGGTGTGGGGTGTGGGGTGTGGGGTGTGGGGTGTGGGGGTGGGGGTGGGGGTGGGGGTGGGGTGTGGGGTGTGGGGTGTGGGGTGTGGGGTGTGGGGTGTGGGGTGTGGGTGTGGGGTGTGGGGGTGGGGTGGGGTGGGTTGGGGTGGGGTGGGGTGTAGTCCCCAACGCCAACCAAACCCTCGAAAGCAAGTTTGCCAGAGGGCAGCCAGCGAGGCTTCCCTTCAGCTCGCATAGTTGGCCAGTTGGGCGTCAAGGCAACGAGGGTGATATGATCACCCAGGTGTCTTTCTAATCACGTGAATGCGAGAACTCCTACACAAGGCCAACCACAAGAAAAGAAAGCAAGAACCAAACTGCCAGGGAGGGGTCCCGTTTTGCAGCGTTTTTTGAGAACGAAATTCAGGCCTCCATCAAACAACTCGCGCCGACTTGCTCCCAGGCAGCTCTGCCAGCCCCTAGTTAACTAGCTCCTAGGTATCTTGTAGGGCGGGGGTTGGGTGGGGTGCGGTGGGTTCACGGGGAGTTTTGATTGTGCTACTTTCAATATAAACCATGGATTGTAGCGAGCTTGGCGAACTTTTTTGCGGTGTTTTCCAGTGAAGAAGCGCCTCAAACATTTGGTTTACCCCACATCGCACTTCGGAGTCCCTTTTGAATTGGGTGCTCCTCCAGCACTGGGAGTGGCGACGGGTATTGTTCTTAATCTAGGTCTCCCAGTAGTGCCCGTTTACCCTTTTTTGGGGGAGGCTTCCCCTACTTAAAAAGGACTACAGAACCTTTTTCTAACCTCTCTACTGGAGGACCTAGTAATTGTTTCTTCCTTCTTCTTTTTTTCTTTGGGTTCGGGGGGGGGGACTCCCGACGAGTTGGCAATGCACATATGTTTCTTGAGGTGACAGGCTTCGCCGCTTCCACAAACCACCCATAGAGTGCCACTTGCTTGGTGTGTTGGAGGGCACACTTTTTCAGGTTGGTGAATGAGGGGGCTTCTCAAGGGACCAGTGCACTTTCGGGGTCCTGGGCCCTATTTTGAGACACACCGCAGGGATTCCACTTTTTCTTTGGTGGATTCCACATTCACAGCAAGTGGGCTGTGGGAGAGCACTTGCGTCCTTTTGAGAGATGTCATTTTTAACTAGTTCTATTCAAATTTGTTAGCGCTGGCTATGTCTACGGCCCGGGTTAGGAAACTGGGTGGTGTCAATTGCCCCAATCTCCCTCGAGGTGCTGATTTTGTTCCCGTGTTTGGGCGCTTGCTTCTGGCACCAACGGGCTACGCTGGTGCCTCAAACTGGCTATGGCGTGCTCTCCTGAGTTGTTCAGTGGCACCCTTTTTCCAGTTGTTTTTTGGATTTCTCCCCACTAAAAATGGTCTTCCCAAAAAAGGGCTCCCTTTTTCCCAGGCTCACTGAACAACTGAGTTTCAATAAAAGCGACCCCGTCCATCCAACCCTTTTGAATGCACCAGCCACATGGAGCCCCACGGCGCCTTCTTCATGTGAGGAGCTGTCATTGCTCAAGGCGCAGAAGCCGGAGATGGACAAGCGCCGCGCCCAGTTCTGGAGGTCGAACTCGGAGAAAACCATGGGTGTGGTTTTGTTCAGGCTACCCTTCTCAGCGGATTGCATGAAAGTTACCTTGGGGGGGCTGCAACTCCTGCTGTTGGTTTCAAACATCGTTCCTTGCGCCGGGTCAAACGAAGGGGATGTTTCTTGAATCTTCCTTCACGGGAAGATCCAGGCAGCCCAAATGGAAGCCACCACATCCAAAGAGGAGCTGGGAGGGGGGGGGGCTTGGGCCAATCCTGCGCTTGGAGGTCCATGACACCAAGAGGCTAGATCTGCATGTGTTTCTCTTGGTGTGCTATTTCCGGTTGGTGATTTTTTTCTACTTGGCTAGGAAAAATACGACAGCCGTTTGGGTGGTGCTTGCGGGGGTTGCTTAGCTGTTGGCAGTTTCATTGCCAGGAGGTCTTGATATTTGGTGCTTTGCGGGGTTGCGAAATTCCTGTTCCACCTTGCAAGTTGGGAGTTTGACGTGTTCTGCACCGTTCCCTCAGCTGTTCAGCGGCACCCTTTTTTTTCTTTTTTTTTTGGTGGCTGCCCCACTAAAAATAGTCTTCCCAAAAAAGGGTTCTTTTTTTTTTTCGAGGGTCACTGAACAACTGAGTTCCTGCTTGCTGGAGCATGGTAAAGGGAAACCAAGAAAAAGTCGGAAACACGTGTTGGAGGTCCGTTTCAAAATCACTTGGCCGCTTGAATCGCCAGTTTTGAGGAATCCTGGGAAGCCCAGACGTTTGGTTTCCTTTGGAAGTGCTTTTCGGACCCCGGGACCTTCGACGCAAATGCCGAAGCACACATCATATTCCCGTCAAAATTATGGGGACCCGAGCGTGGTTTTCCCTGCTTGCTAAAGCCACACCCGAAAACGGTAGCCTCAACAAACACAAAGCCATATCAGGTTTTGAGACCCTACCAACCCCCACCCCAAACCGTTGATGCCTAATTTGGGCTGGATTTGGCCTAATGTGTCCAACAAGGTTGTTGGGGTGCTTGTTTGTTTGCTTTTGTATTTTTTGGGGGAATTTGTAGGGTCCGTGATTCAAGTGCCTACACGCTTGACACGCACTCGCAACACTGTGTGAGACGTCCCCATAAATGTCTGGCGTTGTTGCTTGTTTCCTGAGGTGAGCGCAAACAAGTGCAAGAGGTGTCCTTCTTCTGTTCTGCTCGTGAAAGAAACAGTCAAAGTGGCTCTGTGAGTTTCTTTGCCTGTTCGTCCAGTACCCCTTTAGCTTGGATACCCTGGATGCCCTTTACCCAAAATCACCTTTGCCGATTGGTTCTCTTTTATGTTCATCATGTGAGCTCTTGTGACCGTAGGTTTTCGGGGCACTCTTTGCTTAAAGGCACCCTTGTGACTAGCAACGACTAGTAATTACCGGGTGTGTCCGGCTTTGACTGAGAAACGCTTTGATTGGCTCAATTGCATGCCTACAGTTTTCTGAATAGATCGGTTTACAAATGTCCATCCAAGGTAGTCCGCACCTTTATATATATATATATTCGTACATTGTGCCTCGCATTTGCTCCATGTTTTGCTTTTCTTTCGTGTTTTCCTGTTGAGTCATTTGGCAAAGTCGCTATTTCAGCCAGATCCGCATCATAGTGCTGGGATTCCGCAAGCCTCGCTCGCCATGGGTGCGCTCTTCTGGGTCTTCCTGCCACTGGCCAGCGCGCGGCTCTCTGAGCCCCGGAATGCGAGCGACTCGCCAAACGTGAGCAACTCGCCTGGAGAGTTGCGGGTCCCAAGGATTCGCCCCCCCGGCACGGTGCCGTTATTCCCGTAAGCTTTTTGGGCGACTTGATGCGCATGCGCGGCATTGAATCAGCCGACCCCTTAGGTTGTTAGGTTTTTCGTTCGTTTCGTGGGGGAGTTCCATGAAACCCAACAGCCAGTCACTTTTGGCCGGGGATCAGAAAACGGACAGCCCAGATATGTTTTTTTGTGCATCACCAGAGCTGTCCCAGAATGTGAAACTGGGGCTCGAGAACGTTCATCTGCTTGCGGGCCGCAGTTTGAGGAGAACTTGATGGCTTTTGGGCTGTTCATGGTTGTTGGGAAACATTTTGCATTTTTGCTTATTGTGGTTTAGTGGGAAATCCCCACTTACCTGCTAAAATTTACATTGTTGCTCCCATTCCAACGTCAACCAGGTGTTTTCATGGGGGCTGGGGGGGAGGGAGGGGAGGGGGAGAGAGCCCTAAATAAGGCCTTATTAAGGGCTTAATGAGGCCTTATTTAGGGCTCCCTCCCCCTCCCCCTTGATGCTTACAGCTGGGAACTAGCTCCGACTGGCAACCGATTTGTTGACCCAATATCATCGCTTTTACACTGGCAAGTGGTGAACATCGATCAAACTTCGACTGTTGGGAGGGTGTTGACCTGGCTGTGGGGTGTGGTGGGTTTTCCATGGAAACGTGCTAATGGCAACAAGGGGAGGGCTGCGGTTTCACTGGTTATCGGCCACAGGAAGTTGTACTAAGTCGAACCACCCAGTTCAGAACTTTACACCCGGGATGGCATCATCTCGTTGTGAGTAAGTGTTGAGGACTACGCCAAGCTCAACAACCAAATTGGATGGACTTGTTCCTGGCAAAGTAAAAGAGAAACCACCCATTATTTGTTTATACCACATTCATGGAATTCATCTAAGAAAATAAAGAGACACAACTAACACCTTTAACTCACTTGTCCAAAGCCGACCTTTCGACCTTTGGGTTTCCGATTTAGTTTTAGGTCATAGTCCCAAAAGGTTCACCTTTTGATTCCAGGTCCTATGGGCAAATTGCTGTTCAACACTTTGCACCATGTGGCAAGCCCAAATCAAACAATTTGGCTGGCCAAAGACGGCAAGGAAGTTAAGCCAAACTAGGTCCCTGAGCCAGGTACCCTTCTCTCCCCGTTTTTTGGTTGGGAGGGTTCCCCTACTAAAATAGACCACAGAAAAAAATCGGGTACCAACTTTCTTCTAACCTGTCTACCAAATTGGGGGGAAATTGAATTTGATTTCGCCCCAGCAACCACCCCCTCCCTGGCAGGCCTCGTCCAGGCCTCCTGTACGCCGAGCTTGCTCGAGTTGATGGATTATGCCGCCTACGACAACTTCAACGATGCTCGGATGGGTTTCGGTTCCCACCCTAGGGGTGCTCCTACAACAGTTTCTTGGGGTATATTTCGACATTCCAGGCTTTGCATGGAATATGCCTTCTAGTTTTGCCAGCAAATCTTAACATTATATAGGAGGTGCCCGTAATATCAGCTTTGTCAGGGCTCCCTCGCCATCTCTCACCAGCGCTTTGAGGATTGTGTGGAGAGCAGCCTCAACAGCTCTGGCGTTGCATTGGGATCCGCGCTGGCATACACCCAATGCTGGTGCAAATGGAATGTGTCGCCTGGCTGTGGTTTCAGAGGCCTGGGGAAGCCATCGATAGCCATGACGAATCATTGCCGTTGTTTCCGTTCCGTTTGTTTGGGTGGTCCTTCGAGTTTATGAGTTCCGCAACGTGTGTGGCAATGGACATGATGCGCTGTCTGAGCTGTTTAAGAAAAATTGCAAGCTGTTGGCAAAAGCCTATGGATGTGAACAAGGAAACCACAGTGTGAAGACGTATGGACATGACCCCCCGGCAAGATGATGTCCAGCAAAGGGCCAAGAGAAAGTTGCAAGACTGAGGAGCAGCTTCATCCGCCAGCTACTCAGATGTGTGTCTTGAGCTGGTGCTTGTGGGCTACAAAGGTTCCACACAGGTTCCACACAAGGCTTCTGGGCTCATTTCCTTGAGCAGGGCTCCTTAAAGGATGCATTTTGCCCATTTGAAACATGGCTTTTTCCACCAAAAGAAAGGGACACCACCATTTACAAGACAATGTTCAGGTGTATAGTGTAAGGATCCCTGTTGAGTTAATTCTATTGGCTCAGAGAGCTGCAGTCGACCCGGATCTACAGATCGGCCAATGAGTTCCTCTCGGAACTTGCGCTTGCCTGTTGGATGGTTGTGCTCGTTTTTTGCTGTGCAGGGTTTGGATGTGACATCCACTTTTAGTTCATGCTCCTCTTGGTGGCTCCCAGCCATCCACTTCGCTTTTTAGCTTGCTTGTGTTTAGGGGGGATTTCCATATCACCCAATAAAAGTTAAACTTTTAGCAAGGGATCTGTGGGCAGCCCGGCTCTGGAGAGCTTCAATGTAAACTTCTCAACACTTGTTCATGGCTTTCCTCATACCCTCAGGTGGACCCAGAATGTCCCTGGATGGTTGCTTTGCTTGCTGGCGCTCACTCGGGAATGTCCCAAGGTTTTGGGAGGTTGCCTGGGGATTCCCTTCAAGGAAATCACGAAGGATGGTTTAGATTCCAATTCTCCTTCCCATCGCATCTCTGGATCGCAGATGTTTCGCGTGTGGCGCGCATGTCCGGGTCCTTTTGAGGCGCCCAGAAGTGCGAAGACCACAAACACTGGAAGTGGCTCATGGAGGTGGATTGCCAGGCCGAAGCTCGGCGAGGCGATTTTTTTTCTGACACTTCCCGGTTAAGTCGAGCCGGGCTTTATCTCCCCCCATGTGTTTCTCGATGTTTGGAGGGAGTTGCACCTACAAACCGCAGCAACACCCAAAACATGTGCCAATTGTTTTATAAGGGGAAATCCACTTTTGTTTCAGAATACGCTTTGTAAGGGGCGGTTTGAAGGGAAGCCCAAAACAACACTCTCCGCTAAAAAGGCCTGCAATTGTGTCTCAGGGAAATCCACCTCACCGGGAAGCGACTCCAAAACAGCTGAAATCTTTGCAGTGGGGGATGTGCAGTACTTGAAGCTATGCCGCATGGTTTTTCACGGGAGAATCTACATCTAGTATTCTTATCTAACTTCCTTTTGCTAGAAGGTTACCTTTACGCTACAGTATCAAAGGGCTTTATTGCACCTTGCGTCACCAGACTGCAGTGATGTACCACTTGCTCCATCATAAACTGGCATAACATCCACCCCAGCATCAAAGGCTCCTGGGATTCCTCCAGATAAGGCCTCAAGGGCATAGAGGGGGGTTGAAGCCTGCGATCTTGTGGGAAGCTGGACATTTGGCTGTGTCGAAACCAGCCGCTTCCTAAGAGAATCCGTTTGGTTTGCGCATATTCGGACGGGTAATTATCAGGGTTGCACCTTTGTTTATAATCCTGTCGTTTTCTTGGGGGGAAGGCCCTTTCCTTATCCTTCATTTGGACTCCGACTTGTTGGTCTTGAATCCCTTTTTGGCATCCTTTCCTTGGACCCGCTGTGTTTTTTTCCCCGGCGGCGGGGAGGAACCACTTTGGGACTCCAATCCCCTCAGCGGCATTGAATTCGCGCCGGGCTCCCCGCTTTTTTTGTTGGTGTTTCGGGCGACGGGAAGGCACCACTTTGGGGCTCCACTCCCTTAAGGCAATCGAGTCCGCACCGGGCTAAGGACTGCGCCAGCTCTGCGGCAGCCCAGTGCGCGTCATGCCCGCTGCTGTGCTTCGAGTGTCACGGCAAGGGTCTTACTTCGTTGGCTCCGCTGTTGACAAGTTGACAGGAGGCACGTGGGTGGCTCGTCTGTACCATAGGTGTCCTTTTTTTGGGTTAGTTTGGTTGAAAATAGAAGGCACTGGTTTAGCTGGGTGTTCTTCCATTTACCACGGCCATCTATTGCACCTATGTTCAGTACCCTTTTCTTTTAAAGTGAAGCTTCCAGGACTCTCAGGACTGGGCCCCCAGAAGACACACCGTGCGTTGAGTTGGTGGTGGACTCGCATTGACATGCTGTCCTTTGTAGGGCACTCCCTAAAGGGCCGGACCCCTTTTTGGGGATGAAGCTTGCAGAGCAAGAGGAACAGACCAACACCAGCTGTGAACAGATGGAAACAGATTGGGGGGCGGTTCGCAGTGACGAGTGATGAGAGGGGATGCTTGGATTCATAGGGAGCAGTGCCTGATTGAAGAGGATTCCCCTTTCACCTGGCATTTGGTCTGCTCAGGACGTACCAGGGATTCCGACCCCTAGACCCGCCCCCCCAAGGCAGAAAATGTGACACTTGAACTAGATGTATGGCTTGTACAACGCCTGCGCTTGCGCTTATTTACTCCATTGGGGATTGTGGGGTATTACACCGTTTTTGAAGTACCCTTTGAGGGATTGCCCATTTTCATTGGGGATCTGTGTGGATTACCATGTTTTGTATTTTTGTGAGTGGCCCTTTTTTTTGCGGTACACTGTCTTCCAGGACTCCCCAATCCGTACAAGAAACGGGGGGCTAAGGAGCAACTCGAGCGGGCTAGACTGCACGTGCCGCGATGGCTGCCGGCAGTACCTGAACTGCTTGGAGGCGCACCAAGGGAAGCCCCAATGACCCTGTGAGCCCTCTTGGGTCCATTTGTCATGTGGGTTGCGGGGAGAGGGGGGGGGGAAGCCCAAATAAGCCCGTATTACTCCACCCACTTTGTCTCTCCAGGCCCCATGATCTTGATGTGGATTTGGAATGCGCCAAATCAGAGGAAAAGGGGTCCTTTGACAATGATCGATGGGATCCCGCATAGATACATAGGGAACAATCGCCAGCCATCAGCGGAATTTGTTGCTTACCCATGGCAGAGCTGACTGATCTGACCCTTGAAATGCCTTTTGAGGCAAATGCGCAGCGCTTTGCTAGAAGTGCAGGAGACGTCCTGCTTGAACTGACCCTCTTGAAATGACCATTGTCGGTGACATGTTGTTCCGCCTTTCAAGGGCATCGGGAATCAGAACGGGTCACCATTTTGTCAGCCCCTGTGTGGAGACATCCGAGGGGGGGGGGGGGAAGCAGAACGATTCAATAGTTTCTGAAAGTAAGGGCAGCGGGCAATTTAGGTTTGTTCATTTTGGTTCTAATTGGCAACTACGTCCCCCAACAGGGGCGCCAAACCAACGACTAAGAAAGGTGCCAGGCAAGGTGTTGGGGGGTGTTGGTGTTCGATGGCATGTTCATGTTTTGAAGAAGCCAGTCTATTTCCTTGGAACATTTCAACCGCAAGATTCTGAGTCGACAAGGGTTGACCGGACCAAAAAGCTGGCCTGCAGTTGCTTGCAGAGGAAATGCCTGTGAAGCGGATGCCGGGTGGTTCAGCGACGCGCAAAAATCAGAGTCGCGGTTTGCTGGGGCAATATCTTCGAGACACGAATGTCAAAGTCAGTCAGTAAGGGAACATCTTTCTTTCGTTCATTTTTGGAAGGATTTTGCTCAAAACTCAGCCAACAAAAATGGGTGCTCGTCTGAGCTGAGTCTTTCATCAGCCCCCACAATAGAAAGAACGCATCCTTTCGGCGCCAATCGCGAGGAAAACCAGACCGCGGCTTGGGTTTGCAAACAGACCGGGGTTGGCACAGTGCCATGGGACATGTGCCAAGACGGGTGGAATCCTACGTTTCAACCAGTGTAACAGGAAACCGTTGCCAGTTGGAGGCGGGCCTAGCCTTTGACAGGACATGTGATCATTTGTTTTTTTTGCTGGCAAGAGTTTTTGTTCAGACTGGCATGAACACGCTGAGCTTCTCGCGGCTTGAGTGGTGCTCATGCCGCGTGACAACAGCTTGGCACAAGCAGATGCTTTGCTGGACATGTGCTGGGTTTAGCATGCCATCGCTTGGGAGCCAGAAGGAGCCCGGAGCACACCGCGTTGTGGGAATGAGACCTTTGCTGATAGGGACGCCACCCAAGAACAAGCCATGCCAACCAAAGTCTATCGTACCATCTGTTCGACATATTCTGATGGGGCCAAACGCACTGACGGTCCAAGCCGACCTGAAGGAACGCTATGCAAGGACAATGACACATACTAACCGTTTAGGCTTGGTACAACAACTCCGGTGGTTTATGGCTCTGTGAGGAACGAGCATGGGGAATACACTACATTTCCACAACAAACCCGAAACATTCCATATGTGTCCCATGTCTGTTGGTGTCATATGAGTGGCCAAGCGATTGCAAAATGATTCTCCCACGATCATGAGGCAATTTGGGTTGATAGTAGTAAGGAACATATTCTACCTTCCCCATTCTTTCCAGGAATCCTTCTTTCTAGTAAACCTCTGGACACCCAGGGAAACTGCCGGTCTTTGAAAAGAACGATGGTTGACAAGAATGGGGAATCAACCGATAGAAAATATGTGTTTCGGGTCCAAACCCCGGTTTTGACATGCAAATCCATTGGGGTCATTCGGGTCATTCCGCATATGTTCGATGAGGTGAGCGACAGCTGCGACAGCCGTGCACTGCAGCAGAGCGCTGCGACCCTTGGATTTAAGCTTAGGCTGAAGACTATGTTTTGTTTCCCCTGTTGCTTGAAAAGGGATTCCAGAATCCATTGGCAATTGGACACATGTTGCTAGTTTGTTTCCCAGGAAACGTATCCGCAAATGGAGGCAGGATATGAGGAATTTTACGGGAAATCCTTGTTTTCGGTGGGTAGATTGGCGAGTTCCCTGTAAGAAATCCTGTAGATGGGTTTGCATTGGAGAGAGGGCTTGGAGCAAGCAGTTCTGAGCTTGCGGGGTTGGCCTTTTCTGCCCGGAAAGGTGGAGACGGTGCAGCCAACGTCCGGACTTGTTGAACAAATGAGCGCTCTCTTGCTCTACTTGTCACCTCGCAGCTTTTCAGATAATTTAAAGGCAACTGCCTCAGCTCCAGCTGGTACTGGCCGCGTCAAAACTTCCTAGGCGCCTTTGACACTATATAGACGGCACTGGCAACTTGAACAAGTGACATGAGTGCCTATTTGGGCCAATGAACACGGTTTTAAACTGGTAATCAATCCTCTAGACAAGGACCTTCATACTGCACATACTGGGGCTCATGTTACACCCCCTAGAAGGGTGAGCTCGGGAGCAAGTGTGCGAAGACCCGCGGGGTCGCCAACACTGAGCAAGCTCCGTCTCGCGCGTAGGGTTTGTCGAAACTCCACAAAACTCTTGCCACGTTAAACGGAGCCCAAAACCAGGGTGTTTGCCCTTTTATTCAACAAATATAGTGGAGTTGCGCACTTTAAACACAACACTCTGCCATTATCATCGTAGGGGTAAACTATTTGTATGTCTTGTTTGTACTATGGCTGTGGCAAAGTTGAAACAAACATGTTGATCCGCTTTTAGTGTCCTTAGGACACTGAGAGTTATATGCCACTTAGCATGTATAAGCGTGTGTATATCAAGAGGCGTAGGATGGCTCCGAGCGCATCCGAGCGCTACGAAAGTCCTGTCGATGAACAAGGCTTATGTTTTGGATGGCGCTCCTCTACATGAACTGCAGTGCAGACCTCTCCGAGGGAAGGTAGTTTCAGAGGCGGGTTACCTATATTCCCCTTATGATGACTCAATTTTCATCAGTTGAATTAGTTGAGTTTCCTTCGGGGAGGTTTGCCAGGGAAACCACAGGTGTGTTTCTTTTGCGATTGGCTTGGGGACGCCAAAGAGGGAAACATACTGATGAACGAAATTATCCACTTGGTATGAAACCCTATGAATAGAGGGATAATGCGCCTAGGTATTATCAGAATCAGGGTACCCAACACACAGTGGTTTTCCTTTTAGTTTCCTTTATACCAGCCAAAAAACATGGTAGCCGTACAAAAAGCACAAACCCGCCAATCCCTGGTGCCTTTGGCGGAAATTCGCCGCCGACGTGTTCGATTGAACGCGTCCGAAGGATGCAAGAGTTCGACAGCTGCACTGCCTACGAGCCTGCGCCGCCTGGAGGAAATCAGCTCGATGGGTTTGGAAAACCTTAAAGGGTACACCAGCAATTGAATGTTGACCCCATCCCCAGTTCCCCTACTAAAATAGACTAAAGAAAAAAGGGTACCCTTATTGTAAACTCTCTCCTGGAGGACCTAGTTCATCAGCCCCCGTTTATTAATATGGGGGTGTCCCTGGTTTTATTGGTGATTCATAACTTTTTGGAGGGGATCACCCGACTAATGAACTGGGGTTGGTTAATATGGGGTTAAAACTACGTGGTACATGGAACCGTTTACAGCTGGCAAAGGTGGTGTTTGATTTGGCCGTTCCTTGGAGCCCTGCCAAAATTGTCTTGGTTCCCAGCCGTCCCCGCATGAGTTCTGAATCTGAACTGATGTCGCCAGACTTGACGTCAGGGGCCCGTCGGGGGTGCTGTAAATCTAGCTTCTCACACGCGTGGATTGGTCAGACAACAATAAGAATATGTCTGTAAGAACCGAGACCCTACCTTGGGTTTGCAAAAACGCATGACCGAGTAATATCTGAGCTGTCCTCAGATCCCCTAAAAGTTTGACTTTTAGTGGGTTAAATGGAAACCCCCAATACGATAAGCCAGGGACCAGCCAGGGGTTGACCACAGCATGGAATCCAACAGCTTTGCTTCTGCAAGCCAGGAACTAGCCAAACAATGTCGACCCATCAGTTCTGTGAGGGGGACCTGCAAGTCTTGGCCAGGAATTCTATAACCTGCTTGCATAGCTCAGCGGCACGTCAGCTGGGATATGTATTAAGGGACACACGCGGCTGACTTGACACTCCTTCCTTCCCTTACTTCCTTCCTTCCCTTCCTTCCCTTACTTCCTTCCTTCCTTCCTTCCTTCGCTTGCTTCATTCCTGCCTTGCCTGCTATCTTGCTTGCTTGCTTCCTTCCCTTACTTCCTTCCTTCCCTTACTTCCTTCCTTCCTTCCTCGCTTCCTTGGTTCCTTGCTCCTTCCTGCCTGCCTGCCTGCCTTCCTTCCTTCCTGCCTGCCTGCCTGCCTGCCTTCCTTCCTGCCTGCCTGCCTGCCTGCCTGCCTGCCTGCCTGCCTGCCTTGCGTGTGAGAGACGGTCATCAGCCCAAATATTCCAACTTGACCGTGGGACTTTCCACGATTGCCTCAAGCTGCCCTTATATGGAGGTCCCTGAATTTCGGATTTCTGGATCCCAAAGCTCACGCCGAACAAATCCTCGTGACCATTTTTCCGGAAACTGTGGGTGGGTCTTCAGCTCTCCTCACTTCCTGAGTTCTTGGACTTTAGTCACTGTTTCGGAAGATCAGTTTGGTGGAAACCAACAAGATCGGACTTGTTTTGGGCCATCCACGGAATGGAAGCGTGTAACATCGCCGATTGAGTTCCCAAAATGGGCCTTTGGAAAATCTGGTCGGCCAGCAAGGGCGAGGGTGCCGCAGAAAGGAACTCATGTCACGGGACGGCCTTCATTTTTCCAAGAGTTGGTATAAGGAAGCCAGAGTCTCAAGATCCCCGATGGTTGGTAGATTGATTGTTTACTTGAAAGAGTTGTTTGCCTCAAACTTCATAGCTAAATGACACCCTTTCCAAATCTACATGTATTGCCAGATGCTGGTGGCTTCCCTTTCAGATAGCCCATCGCCTTCAAAACCAAGGGAACCCTGTGGCTTTTTTCATAGCCACATGACGCCTTTTCAAAAACAATGATGAATTCCCTTCTTGTAGATAGTTCAACCCAGCCTGGGTTTGAAATTGGCCCAAAATCACCTCCACCCCATGCCAGCAGTGCCCAAATCTCCCATCGGCCTTAAACTAGGTATGTTCTACTAGGTTTGATTGTCAGATATTGCTTGTGAGTGTAATAAAGCCTCACTTGCCCAAAGGCGACCTTTTGACCTTTAGGTTTTTACTCCTAGTCCATTTTTAGTCATGGCCCCAAAAGGTGAATCTTTTTATGTCCAAGTCATTTGAGGCCTCTACCCATATATAGCTGCGGGCCTCGAGGCACGGGGGTTCTTGGACGAAGCTCTCCATGTCCTCCCGCTGCCTTTGCGCGGGCACGCTGCAGCAGGAGATTTCCTGTGGGGTCTTTGCGGCTCCCAGCCATCCGGTTCCTTAGCCTTTTAGCCTTTTAGCCTTTTAGCCTTTTAGTGTTTTGTGGTGTTTAGCCTTTTTGTGGCTCCCAGCCATCCACTTCGCTTTTTGGCTTTCTTGTGTTTAGGTGGATTTCCATTTAACCCGCTAAAAGTTAAACTTGTAGCGGGGGATCTGAGGGCAGCCCAGGGGTGAGGTGGGGTGTTGGGTGTTGGGGGTCAGGTTGGGGGTCAGGTTGGGGGTGGGGTGGGGTGGGGTGTTGGGGGTGGGGTGGGGTGTTGGGGGTGGGGTGGGGGGTGGGTTGGGCAGGGGGCTCCTCTTTGGGTTCTCCAAATGAAGGTGTCCGAGCATCTCACTCCCTGCGTTCCTGGACGTTAGGCACCTTTTGGGGAAGACAGTTTAGACTTCTTTGGGCAAATCGACTCAGGAAGTGAGGAAGAAGAGTTGAACTGATATCAATGTCTGTCTTAGTTTGAGTGTCCTAGATGTTAAATTTCCTAAAACTTTGATACAATTAATAGAGATTCCCCAAAATGGCAGGTTTGCATTTGGATTCCCTTTTAGCAGAATCTCCAACCAAGGACACACCCCAATAGCCAAACTCCGGAGATTGGTAGTAGGTTCACTTACCCAGACGACGCAACATCTCGATGAATGCCTAAATCAAGATGAGCATGGAATGCGTGTGGCAAGAAGCTCTCATGATTCTGTGTTTTTTGATCCTGGGATTTCCTTTTGTGGCCCCAAAACCTCACATGTTCGTATGTGGAGGCCCACATATTCATTAAACTCGTATTCCAAGGTTGTGCAAATCCGGACCAAAATCAAAGACATTTTGAGCGATTTGGGGGCGGGGGGCAAAAGCTGAGGAAGCCGTCCCCTTGGTTTATCCACCACTTATGTTTGGATCTATTGCATTTTCGGTATCGTGTCATTTAGCATGTGGTGTGAATGCAGGCGATTTGCCAAATTTGCTGTCAACATGATTGAACATCGATGCAACTCGCGCAAGTGGCGTACAGAAAGTCTGAGGAAAAGCTTACGTGTGAAAGCGGACGGGTTGCGGAGCTCCGGTCATCGGGCCAGAGTCGTTGTTGGAGTGGTTCTTTTCTGCTCGAGGCAGATACATGTGGGTGTCTCTGTTTTTTGGTGTTTGGATGGTTTTACAAGCAGAAACATGTGGGTGTATCTGTTTTTGGGTAACCATCCAAGGACACCAGAAAAGAAACCACAAATTTTGGGGATCTCCCTTAGGCAGAACCATCAGGCATCACCCATTTCAAAGGTTTATGCCCATCGTTCTTGTTGGCCGACATCGCGTGCCCGGGTTCCCGCGTTTTTTTGCAAATTCCTCGAACAGTTATCTCGCTTTGAAGCCCTGAAAGACGCCATCCTCAGAGGGTACCAGCGAACGTCTTGGGTATCAGTACTTATGAGGCTCAGCGGCTCAGGCGGGGGACAACCTGTTTTTCCAACCTGTTGTTCGACTCCTCTTTTTGGGGGGTCCACAAAGCGGGTTGGATCCAGCAAACAGGCGGGCCAAACGGTCAAGCCCTCGCTGTTAGGAGCTTCAGGAGCAGCAGTGCTGCAACCGCACGTATGCCGCGTTCTGCTCCGCGGGCGTCTCAGATCCCTAAGCCTCGCTTCCCCCTGAGTTCCCGAGGCAGAAGACCTTAGGGTCTCTTTGGAGAGGCTAGGGGAATTTATTGATGCAAATGGTATTATGAATCTCACTTCCTGAGTTCATGAATTTTAAACTTTTAGTGGTAATTATAAGAAGTTTGAACTTTTTTCGGGCCATCCACTCAGCCAGTGAGGAATACAAGAATCATTATGGATTATGGTGTATCAGCATCACTCAATGTTGAACCAGATGAAGGTAGACCAAGTCAAGCGGGTTGGGTGCTTTGACGGCCTCGGAAGATGGCCTCAGTCCAGTCGCGCGGCTTTCGCCATGTGCGGCATCTTTGTTTCTGGATTTCACTCAACCCGAAACAGTGGAGTGTTGAGGTACGATGAAAAGAAACATGATCAGATCCCTGTCTGTCCAATGATTAAAGCAAAAAACAACTTGGAGTTGCAGATGGTATGGTTATGCACCCAGGAAGTTACCACAAAACTTGCTCAGGGCATAGCCCCCAGGAGTTTGACATTAACCTCGAGGCTACCTGCGACGAGTGCGGAAGATACGAATGTTGGAACTCTGGATACATGCCCGCTGGATTTCTGGCAAATGCGAATAGTAGGGAATGAGGGAATGAACCTGGGGATTCCCTTAAGCAAACCACATGGGAAGGTTTATAAGGATCAGTCCCTGCTGAGCACCAGCACGATTTTCCTACCTCCCGAAAAAAATCTGACGGGCTGTCGGACAAGGCACAGACATGTATGTCGGTCAGGAAAACCTCCTCGTTTGCCACGTGCTTCTGGATGTACTTGGCACTCCTGATCAATAGCCGTCATGGATACCGCGTGATACTTTGTGAGTTCTATAGTCTATTTTATAACACGCACTGGCCACTGAACATGATGCTAGCTGATGCTACCTTCCTTATCTCTAAAGCCTCCAATATGCACAATTTGAGAACCTCGAAAGCCGTCCTAAATCTTTCAGGTCTCAGCCCGAACTGGCTTGCTGTTATCCTATGTTCGCTCAAGCTTAGGTAACCCTTAGTTGGTGGTTTGGATTCTTGGTTGGTGGTTTGGATTGGAGGTTTGGAATTGCGATTGAACCCCTGGCTTCTGTAGATGGTCAATAAAAACCCTCCAATTGGAGGTAAGCTGTCACACACAGTTTTGGATCTTGGATTTGATGGCGACTTGGGCCTTGATTTTTCCTCATGCGTGTACATGCGCATAGCTGAAATGTGCTGTTGCTTCTCGAGTGACTCTGTCGCTGCAAAAAAACGGCTGAGGCCGATTGCTCGGTGGATTGCAGTCAGGTGCAAGCTCAGCTGCGGCTCGGCAAGTTTGACTGAGCGCCCAAATAATGGGACGAAAGCCCCAATTCTGGTAGGGTTCAGCAGGGTTATATGCCCATAGGAACCTCTACAACCAGGTTGGTAGAACCAAAAAGCCGATGGGCTTTGCTGTCCAAATCAGACGCTGACATTGTGATTCCAAATCGTAGCCCTTTTGAGCTGCCGATGCCACTTCGATTCCGGGAAAGGAATAGAGGACATGCGTTCCAAGGGGCCCCTCGAACTGGTTCAGGTGTTGCTCTTGTGAAACCGGCAGGAGTCGGGAATGCCGATCTCAATCTCAACCAGGGTGTGTTCTTTTCTTACGAGAAGCGTGGAGTTGTAGTGGATCTCTCTGCCTGACCCTCGCCAAACAACTGGTAGGAGGCAGAAAACCGTATTGAACCAAGCGAGGACAAGCTTGAGAAAGGTACGGTTCAATTGATGCCGACGCAGCAAAACAATAATACCACCGACAATGGCAGCACTCAACGGCATGAGAAAAAAAGGGTCGCGAAACCGGCCAGAAAATATGTGGTGATTTCTTCAACCAGGAAATGTGCAAGTTGGGTCCTCGACAAAGCATGGACATTCTTTTTCGACCTGCTCCCTAGTACAACATGGGGATGCTTTTTACAGACTTGGACGTATGTGGTTGGACACATGAATCCCATGTGAAATGATGTCCACCAAATGCCCCCCCCTCTTGAAATTCACGTCCCCTTTCTGGGGATTTCCTGGTTGGGACTGAGGGGGCCACCAGGCAGCGGAACCCACCACCAACTTGTTTTTGTAGGCTTTGAAGGAGAACTCCCCCTTTGGCGGCTCGGAAAACCGTTGATGTTTGCCAAGAGGGGCAAGAAAAAACCACGGAGCTGCGGAAAAACAAGTTGGGGTCTTGGGTTCTCCGAGAAATATGTTCGCTACCCCCAAACGAAAAGCTTCATGGAGAAGTGGGGGCGCATAGCCTTGATATATTGGGTATATAGTGTATATGTGATATGTAATTACAATATATATATATATATGATATATATATATATAAGAGCCAACAGCTATGGAAAAAAACACGGTGTTTTACAGTCAATTTATGAAGAAAGAAGGACAGGTAGTTCATGGGGGGCCGACCATATATATATATATATATACACACACACACACCTCAATTTCCCTATAGGTCAGTCCGCTAAATTTAGGTAGGTACCCATTACAGGGGTGGTTTCGGGGTGGAAGCCGTAGAGGTTGTGCCGCAGCGCGCCTGAGGTGTGTTGCGAATTGCACCCGTCTTTGCGACAAACCTTCTGAGGCCGCGGGGGGTTGGAGGGTGACACGGGGCTGGTGGGTGTGCCTTTGGGGGACCCGCGCAACGTGGTGGTGGTCCGACCTTGGTGGTCCTTTCAGTTTCGCTGTAAACCAACCCCTCAACCAAAAAAACACGTCGCACAACGGGGGACCCTTTTTGGGGTTTTTTGAGGGGGCCAAAGCGCGCGAAGCTCCGATTTGTTTTGAGACACATGGACCACCATGGATGTATGGGATATGGTTGCCAAGTTTCTTCACGTCCTGCTCCTTGTTTGTTGGTGTTTTCTCATTTAGCCATTCGACCCAAGAGTCGGCTCAGTCTGGAGGTAAGGTGAAGCCCCAGATCTCAAGCCAAGGAGCCTCGCAGCATCAAGTGGTCTTTGTAACCGTGAAGTATAAAGGCGTTCGATTTTGGCTCACGGGAGAGCAACCCAAGGTGTTGTCAGTTGGTGGTAGTTTACATGTTCTTGATTTTCGGTTATCAAATACACAGGAGAATAAACTGTAGCACTGCAAAGGCTCCTGTTGGAGTGGATCAATGCGGAACCCGGAAGTATGAATCTGACATTCATGCCTAGACGTTTGCTGTTGGGAATTTGGTCTATGAGCCACTGTTGATATTCACCGCCATCTGCTGTGGTACAGAGAACCACGAGTGGATTCAACAAACTTCCACGAGATGAAGTTCGCTCACCAAAGTTCCGTGCCTGGGGGGTGGAGCATGTCGACCATTGCTCATGTGGCATGTACAAGCTGGTTAATGGCAATATTCCGCATAATGTGTGGCGAGCTCCCCGCGGGGTAAAGCGAGCTCACCAAGGGAAAGGTCCTTTACTTGGGGATCCCTTGTTGCAGGTCTTGGATACGAATTCCTGCACCACTTTGAAGCGTCGGGCAAACATGGTTTGTTTGGTATTTTCGGGGAAGCCATCGTTCTAGGGTGTCTTAGGTGGTGCAGGAATTCGGCCATCCACAGTATTGCCAACAACATGCAGTGTTGCCCTTGAAACTGAGTATCCCACCAAAGGCGCTCAGCCCCAAGAGGTTTCTCTTGGGTACATGGGCTGGGTAGCCCGGCTGGTGAAAGGCGCACGAACTTGCAACAAACATCCTGGTCGCCTATGGGCAGGTTCTCATCGCATTGAAGGAAAAGCGGAAGAAAGCTCCCCATATTTATGAGTACCCCATGTTTCAGACGCGCTTTGTTCTTAGTTCCGGGCAAAAGCTTAATCTGCTCACCTCAAGCAAGAAAGAACTCTCCCACAATGAAGGTCCTTTTTTCCAGTTTGCGGATGCTAGTTTGCCGACTTTGGGGAGGAACCCAACATTTGATCACAAGACCAGGGGTTATACGATAAGCACAAGGAATCCGTTGTGGCGCTTTCTGCGGGGGTTCTATGTTAAGGACTTTTCCTGGGCCGCCTTTGTCTCAATGTCCATGACAACAGAAAGCTTGTGTTTTACTAACATGGCACCCATGAGGGATGCCACTGCTGACAAGTTTTGTGTTCATGACCTACCGCGACCATTTCGAAGTGTTTCAACATTTGGATGGCATCCATGTCAACCACCTATTTGCGTTTTTTGGTTCCGTTGCCAAAGTCAGGAAAATTGCGTGAGTTTCCGCCATGAGAACCCCGAAATGCATCACTGTTCCTTTGGACACCTTGGGGACCCGGGACCTGGGGCAGTGCCGGACTCTGCCATTTGATTCAAAGGTTTTGATCCGCCACAAACATCGAACCTGTGTGAGTTGGCCTTTGGCATAGAACCTTCTCTTGGGCCAATGCAATTTGTTGTTGGGCCCGAAAACTTGTTCTATGTTCAGCAAAATTGAAAAAACAAGAACATGATGTGAGAAGACAGTATTTTTGACGCTTCTCAGCGAGGTTCTCTGTCAGTGACTTCCCCCCAATAGCGGCAACTTCAAAGTTGCGCGCCCCTATCCCTACATTCCCGCACGGGTGCCAAGCAAGATTGCGGACTTTTTGGCCTCAGCTGCTTCTTTAACTTGTACGCTGAAATTTGAAGCCATGTTTGTTATTTCTTTGTTTGGCAGGGTGGGTTCAATGCAACTAGCATGGGGTCCATGGAGCCACAATGTCGGGAAGCCCGCGCAAACATGTCATCAGTACTTCTGTTTCCTTCACTGAGTCACTCGAATATGTGCTCGCTCACCTGCAAAAAAAGAAGAAGAACACAAAACGGGGGCAGAGCATCGGCCCTCGGCCTCGTTTCGCCTTCCAAACCTGAAAAGATCCCTGGCCGAGGTCTTCTTTTCTCGGCCTGGCTGACTGACTAAAAAGCCCCGAAACGGGATCTCGGATTGAAGACTCACGGACAATTTGACGGCTTCTCACCTCCTGAGTTGGTGGACTTGAAACTTTGTGGAAAGACCCATTTTAGTGTTAAATAAAAAGTTCAAGCTTTTTTGGGCCAGTCAACTTGGGAAGTGAGGCTTAGGTCCATGTCAATCAAGGGAATATAAGTTAGGGTTTAGGGTTTAGGGTTCTAAAATCTGGTGTCCGAATTTGGGGAACTCAGGTCTTTCATCGCACAAGTTTATGTTTATACTGTGAAGCTGGAGGGGGATAACCGCTTTGAAGGTTCCCACTCCCTCTCTTGGCAGGCGTGCGATCAGACCTGCCTGCGCGAAGATGCCCCTTGCAACCGGTACAAGGTGTGTGGCTCGGCGACATAGCCTAAGGTACTTAGCCTCGTTTTAACCCCTGAAGAGCTGTCAAGGCGAACTTGGAACTGGGATATGTGTGTGTGTGTGTTTCTGTGTTGAGTAGGGCCCTGCGTAATTACCCAACATCCGATTGCCCATTTCGTGACGCCTGGATGCCCGTGGCTGAAAGGCACGTGGAGCGAAGGCCGAGTGCCCAAAACCCATGGGCCGTGGCAGAGGGCGGCCACTTCAGGGGTGCGCGTGGTCCAAATCTACTGGTCGGCTGAACAATTTAGACTTGCTTAGGTATGTCAGATGAGTGGAAAAGGAGGCATTCACCATCATCCACCAAGTGTTGCAACAACATTCGCGAGCCCAGGGTTTGGACGGGGTACCAATATCGTCAAATACGAAGAGGCCGGCGTGGTCTCTGATTGACTTGCGCTCAGGACCAAGCTTTCAGGTGTTCTTCCGCCCAAGCTGACATACAGAAAAGCTGTCCTTTTCCTGGGATCTGACATTAGCTTTACCTATCTTTTGGGTTCACAGTGGCCATCAAGCATAAGCCTGGGTTGGGCAAAAGCTTAGGTTGCACTGGAAGCCTCTCCAGGCATTTTCCGCACCCGGCCGACCGCTTCCCGTATTGGCTCCGCACCCTCTCAGGGTCTAATCGTTCATGTTCGACTGGGACCTTCGAAAAACAGCATCTTCAACGAGTACTTGCTTTTTGGGGAAGTTGATGCCAGGATCCATGTGTGTGTGTGGGTTGCACTCCTCACGTACTTTGACTTGCTGCGAGCCCCTACCCCTTTTTTGGGCTTCTTAAACCATACAAATACATAAGTGTGACTCTGTTCAAGCCCTTTGAGGCCATTCATGTCACATCCGTCCCACATGACACTCGTTTGCACCCGGCTTCAGGCCATGTCGCCATGCCCCAAAGCTATCCCTACGTCTGCGACGATGGGGGGCAACCTGATGCCCACGGCTGCTGCGTGGGGGTCTTTGACACGGACCGGTGTCCGCTTCTGTGCCTCCCCGCAAAAGTCCGCAAAAGTGGGAGATGGATGGTTCATTTCTGGAGGTCAGATACCACACTGAAAAACACTGGGTTGGGTTCCAATAGCCACCATGATGAAAGGATTGTCGCCCAAATTGGGTCCTTGCCATGCTTTTAATGGGGGGTTGAACCCTAGGGTACTGATAGTCTATCGGTTGTGCGAGGACATGCAACCCGAATTCCCACGAAAACAAGAGGGCGTCGCAAGAGGGCGCAAGTTAACTTAGAAGCCGCGAATCCCGTGGCCTGTGGCCAATACTTTTTGTCATGGGGCCTGGGGGCTGGGGGTTAGTAGCCGGGATCAAGAGATTCGATAGGTGCTTGTGCCTGAAAATGGATTCTTGAACAAAAGGCCAATGCCATGTTGGTATCCTTGAACTACTAAGTTCCTGGTTAATGAGTAGGGCCCCCATGCTGACCTGCCTTGATGGAGCCGGTGTGATCTTGGCCGTGTGTCAAACCAGCACAAGACGTCAGGGTTCTGTTGGTTCTGGATCTCTCTGACGGCTACATGGCCCAGGGCAACTGGCTCGACAGCGACCCCAGGTGGTCAGTCTGCGATTTCGCAGGCTTCGCAAGGGAAAGATCACCAAGCAAACATCAAAAAGGCTTTCTTTAGGAAGCCAAATTTGGAGGCCCAGCATTTGGAGGGATGCATCGCATTTCTACACGCGCCATGATGCGTGTCTTAGGGATCGGTCCATGTTGAGTGGGTCCGTCTACCTGGGAAACATCGGGCCCCTGAAAGTCAAGGATTCACGCCTGGAGGCCGCTAGAAAGAGGAAGGAGGCTGGGGAGTATCCAAGTCGGTTGACCCGGCAACGGGCAATGAGAAAGAAGAACCGCCCTTGGCTCCAACGGGCAGGGGGAATTGACAGAGTGATGCGCTTTTAAGTGGACATGGGCACTGGGGTCATTATTTTGACTGTTTTTGGGGGTTATCAAAGTCAGAAAATGTGGGTGTTTCCCTTCAACCCACCACTTAGGGGGTGACTTTGATCATGGTAGAATAATGAGGCCAGGGGCATGCTCAAGCAAGTTCCCCTTTGTGTCACGCTGATTTGCAGGAGAGCACTGGGTTTTGGGCGCACGCGGCGCAAAGCCAAGGTGCGATGTGCAGTGGAAGCGAGCGGTTTGGCAACCCAGCGGTCCTGTGTCACGCTGTGAATGCGTGGACTGCCCAACCACGAGGGAAGAGACTTTTGAGCTGATGAACATGACCCTGATTGCGGCTTTTGACACCTGGGCGTGAATGGTTGGGCTTGTTGTATTTGAGTTGGTGCTTTTTAAGTTTCCTGTAAAGCGACTTCAAACAGGGGAACATTGCCAATTGTTGCCGTGCCTTAATTTGAATTTGACATACCCAGTGCTTGTTCCAGTTTTGCTTTGCCTCCTTTGTTTCATCTACCTTTTGTTTTGTCTTTTTTTTTCTCTGTGAGCCGATCTCTGCAAAGGGTGCGAAAAGGATGTCGCCACTTCGCGCCTGCGCTGATTGGTTGTTTTTTGTTTTTTTTTTGTTTGCCTTAGGAGCGAGCGGCCACCAAGCAGCTCATGTTCATCTTGATGACTCACGGGCTGCGGAGGATGAATCCATCCATGGAGGCATCCCAGTTGCGTAGTGGCACCTTTTTTTTCTGTTTACTTTGGGATTGGTTTTCACTAAAATTAGACAAGAAGAGAAGGTGCCCTTCTTTCCCATGGCCGCTGAGGAATTGTTCAGCCTGGAGAGACTTGGCTGAATAGTCCTGGCAAGGCACTTTGGATGAATGGGGAGTGCACTTGGCCGCCAATTCAGCTGAATCAGGGTCATTGCTTCGTCAGAGGTTGGCAAGCAGCGTATGGCGAGTTTTGCTGGAGATTTGGATACACCTCCCGTTTCTTTGTGGCTGAGGGATCTGGGCAACTGGTAGAGTAGTCTTTGGTCTTACCCGGAATGGAGGATTCCATCCGCTTGGAAGGCTTCCCTCGGCAGCTGGGCCACCCCAAATCCGCCGCTACTCCCAAGGTGCCAGAACCGAAACAATCTAACACCCTCCCTTCCACTAACATGGCATCTGTGGGAGAGTACCTGGAAAATCATGTTCCTCTTGTTTCCCCCCTTTGAAGCTGCCATGGCAACCTGGGAGGCTGCCCAACCAGCCAGAGATGAAATCAAATTAAACCATCAGGGGACCGCAGGTTTTTGTCCATGTTTCCACTTACCAGGCCATTTTGGGCACCTATTTTTGACCCATGGCCATGTGGCCGTGGGTTCCAGGATGGATGCCGTCCGCAAAGAGATTGCCCGGTGCCAGCCTCAGAGCCCCAAATCTCTTTCGGGAAGTCTTCCCAACGACCGGAGCCCAAAGCACGCCTGCTCAGACTCCAAAGCAGCCTTCAGCTTGCTCACTTTGGAGTCGGGCTCGACATTGGAAGCATGTCCCGCCATAGCAAAGAAACACAAGGCCAACAAAGCAAAGATACGCCATACCTTGGTGGCTCCCAGCCATCCGGTTCCTTAGCCTTTTAGCCTTTTAGTGTTTAGTTGGAGTTTCCATTTAACCCACTAGAAGTTGTTCACTTTTAGCGGGGGATCAGAAAACGGGCAGCCCAGTTACCTGATGTGAACCCCGAGGCCTCCATTTGCCGAAGAAGCTTGTTTTTCCCCGGTTGGTTTTGTACAAAGGGAATCATATTTTTGTGCGGGGAATCAAGCAAATGAAAGTCCGCAGGATCCCTTGGAGTTTTTCTTGCGCCTCTGGGTTAGGGCCAACGGTTGGCATCACGATGTATGGAACCCACAAAGCCGCGCACCCAACAGCAAACCCCTACCGCTCCACACCATCAGGAACCCAACCCCGCCCGGCACCCTATCCAACCATTCCATGGCCTCCACAAACTCTGCAAAACAGTCTGGGACTGTCCGGAGCCAATTCAGAACCCTCGGAACCCTCTGGAACCATCACTCGGAGCATATGCTGGTAAACCGTCAGAGGCGAAGACTCTGGAGGATCCACTGACTCAGAGACTCGAGTCAATCAATTTGATCCCAGCCACTCTTAGGCTGCAATGGCTCCATTGTGCAAGTAAGAAACAAAGGACCCTGTAAATTGCCAGAGTTTTTGTTTAGTGTATCTGCAATAGAAAATCAGACGTATGCCTCTGACTCATGACGCGAGGCACAATGGAATTCTCGACTGGAAACTGGTGCATTCGCTTCGCCTTATCTCCTTCTACTACTTCCAGAAGCTGTCCCGTGCTGCCGCACCCCGGCAATTCTGGCCGAAATGAACCTGCCCTTTCTGAAAAACATTGTGGCCCCGCTGGGTCCTATGCCTGATGCTGCCTTTTTGGGCTGGGTCAGGGTCCTTTTGGGACATGGGTTTGGGCTCCCTACTTCTTAAGGAGGTCGGCTGTATTCTGGCAAAGGTTCGAGAGAACAAGCCCCTCAGTTGTGGGAGAATATGTTTTTTGGAATCAATGAGTTGTTGCTTTTCACCAATCCATTGTTGCATTTGCTTCTGCTTCTGAGCTGGTTGGTTGGAGCAGACCTTTGAAGTGACTGTAGTTTTGTGCATGCGATTTGTGAAGATTTATTTCGCCGAACCTGCAAGTCTGAAGCCATGGGTAGGAGTAGCGGTTGCGCCAGGCGTTGAGCCAGCTAATTACGGCCTTGTGCTTGTCTTCAGGCGTTGTGCAATGTCGCATCCCTCACAGGTAAGAATGTGCGGTGTTGTCTTATCCCCTTGTTCATAGATCACGGATATCATGGCATATCATGGTTGTACGAGGCTTGCAGGTTCTGGCAGCAATCGTATCCCTTCTTGCATTTCGTGTGAGCTTTGCTGAGGGTGCCCTTTCTGTTGTGGTTTTAAAGGGAATCCAGAACACAAACGCCCCCGTATCAAGCATGGACCCCTAAGGGTATGTCGGGAGGGGGGATGGTCCCTGCATATGCCGAGGATAAGCCAAGGCTAAGCCCTGAATTTGGCTTTGTTGAGGGGTTCATAGGGGATAGGTTCCCCAGTTCGCCCTCACAAGTCCATAGGCAGCCGGTGTCACCGGGTGTTCGGAGGCTTCTGAAGTTCGTACCCTCAACTCAATGCCCGTGAGCTTCGGCATGGTGTGGCAGCTTGGCGTCTCGGGTTGAGTCGGTGCCTTGTTCCTCCCGTATCCCAAACCTTTCAGCCGGCCACCTCTAGGTTTTTCCATGGAGGGTTGCTGGTTACCCATGATAGTGTTAACTGTTTAGCTTGAAGTGCGGATGTGTACCGGTTAGCGGTTAGCCTGTCCTGAAGGTGTTTGGCAACGGGATTCAAGCGAAGCTGCATCAATTTAGTTTTGCGCGCGGCATGAGTTCAAGAGTCCTGTGATCCATGCCCAAGCTGTGGAAGTCCAAAACAAGTCAGATCACGCCCCTGACGATTTTCAAGTCACGCCCCTGACAATTTGTTCAACGAATTGCTGAAAGTTTTGAGTCATACGGGTCCCTGACCCAACAAGTGGTGCTGTGTATTAGACGTACTCTGTTGCCCAGTGGTGCCCTTTTCCTCTGTTTTGGGTACAGAAGGGGTCATCCTGGGGCTGCGTTTTTCAGATTCCTGGGGGCTGCGTTTTTAATGGAAAAGTGTGAACATGCTCGAGTTTTCTACACTTTTCCAGAAACAACAGAACCACAAGAATCTGAAAAACGAGAAAACACAAAACAACACGAGTTTTCCAAAAAACAAAGAATGCAGGCCCTATGGCTGGGCAGTCCAAGCTTGGGGACATAGGGCCTGCAATGTTGGTTTTGTTTCTTTTTGGAAATCTTGAGGTTTTTTACACTTTTCTAGACACACAAAAAACAAACTCGGGTTTTTTTCTTTTTGTATGCAGGCCCTATGGCTGGGCAGTCCAAGCTTGGGGACATGGAGCCTGCATGTTTTTGTGTTTTTGGAAACTCGAGGTTTTTTACACTTGTCCAGAGAAAAAAAGAAAAAAGAAAAAAAACGATAAACCCTCGAGTTTTCAAAAAAAATGCAGGCCCTATCGGCAGTGCAAGCTTGGGGACATAGGGCCTGCAATTTTGTTTTTGTTTGTTTGTTGGAAAACTCAGGGTTTTTTTACACTTTTTCCAGAAACAACAAACAACTCGAGCTTTCAAACAAAAAGAAGCTAAATTGCAGGCCCTGTGGCTGGGCAGTCCAAGCTTGGGGACATAGGACCTGCATGTGTTTTGTTTTTCGGAAAACTCAATGTTTTTTTACACTTTTCTAGAAACAACAAACAACTCGAGCTTTCCAACAAAAACACAAAAATCAAATTGCAGGCCCTATGGCTGGGCAGTCCAAGCTTGGGGACATAGGCACTGCAATTTTGTGCTTTGTTTCTTTGGAGAACTCGAGGTTGTTGTTTTTTTTGATTTTCTCCGCATCCTCGTCTGCAACAGAATGCTTTCAACCCTGTGACTCTCGTAGCCAGCTCTGTATTCAAGCCAACCGTAGACATAACATATTCTCTATGTTCGATTGATATTCCCCCTATTATTGCCCTGGCATTTGATTAATTTCAGTAGTCTCTTGGTATACTTCTAGTATTTCCTCACTACTCCATAGTATTCCCTTGCTATTTCCCCTAGTAAAGGTGTGGAATTACTAGGGGAATACCCATAGTATTGCCTTATTCCTTAAATGTTATCTTGGTATACCCCTAGTGTTCCCTCAGAAAGTCCCCTAGTATTCTCCTAGGTTCACCTTTAATATTGCCGGAGTGTTCCCTGAATATTTCCTTAGTATTGCCCTATGATTGCCCTAGTAATTCCCTATTATTGCCCTAGTATTCAGTTAATTTAATGGTCTCTTGGTACACCCCCAGTATTCCTCACTACCCCATAGCATTCCCTTGCTATTTCCCCTAGTAAAGGGATGGAATTACTAGGGGAATACCTTGAGTATTGCCCTGGTATTCCTCAAGTATTCTGTTGGTATACCCCTAGTTTTCTGTCAGTATTCTCCTAGAATTCTTCCAGTATTCACTTTCAGTACTCCCCTAGTACTTCCCTAGTAGTGCCCTAGTATTGCCCTAGTCAGGAAGCCTGAGAGAAGTCAGACAGATCGAGCTTGAGAGACCCCCAGTATTCCCTTCAGTATTCCCACGTATTGTCCTAGTATTCACGTTTAATATTGCCCTAGCATCCCCTGAGTATGTACCTAGTATTGCCCTAGTATTCCCCTAGTATTGCCCTAGTGTTCCTTTAGTATTCTCTTGGTATACTCCTAGTGTTTCCTCACTACTCCCCTAGTGTTCCCCAATTATTTCACTAGTAAAGGAAGGGGACTATTCGGGGAATACCTTCAGCATTGTCAAACTAACTAGGCAACTAAATAAGGAAATGGAGTGTTGAAGCGCCCTGCCAAGAAGTGTGGCCCTGCCAAGGCCTGATTGTAATTCAGGCTGTCTTCTTTATAATCTAAGTTTAGCTTCCCAACATGCATTCTTCAAGGCGTGAAAGCATCTGCGGCTCCAGTTGGAATAAAACAAAATGGGCCTGTACTTGCATGCCATCACACAACCAAAAGACCGAAAATCTAAATATTTGTGCTGCAAAAAACGCAGCCTCCAGGAATCTGAAAAACGCAGCCCCCAGGAATCTGAAAAACGCAGCCCCCAGGAATCTGAAAAACGCAGCCCCCAGGAATCTGAAAAACGCAGCCCCCAGGAATTCGAGAAACGCAGCCCCCATGCCGACCCGCCCTCTTTGGGTAAGGGTTCCCCATTAAACTCAACCAACAAAAACGGGTGCCCTGTTTTTCCCATGGCCACTGGGCATCTGAGCGTTCTATTGCCTTGACATGTGCGAGCCGAGGACACCGCAGGTGGTGCGGAAAAAAATAAATAGATAACGATCACTTGGCGCGGCGTGTTTCGAAGCTTTTCTACAGTTGGGACAACGTGGTCTAGGGGCAATACTGAGTCGGTTTTGGAGGGCCGTCAGATTTCGATGGCGGCCCCCATGAGAACCTTCCGTTGGTGTCCTGATGGATTACCTTCAATCCAGGATTTCCCAGTTCTGAGATGTTTGCAGAAGTAAAGGAGAACATGTCAGAGCCATCAACAGCTTCTCATTATCGAAATGATTTACCGTGGTGAAACAAGCCACATATGGCCTTTAGTCAATTTATTGGAAGCAACAGCTTGCCCACAGGCAGTGGGCGTGAGTGAAGTTCTTGCTACGTAGGTTTATTCTATGTATGTTTGACCTGCGTAAGATCATACACAAGCGGGCTGCATTATCCCTAGTGGCTTGGTCACCCGCATGGTGGGAGGCGATGCATGTACACGCATTTCATGGTTTTCAGCTGGCGAAAAAAAGGGGACAAATTTCCTGGCCAGGATTATTTTCCGGAGCCACAATCCAAACCCTGGTTGATGAAGGTTAGTAAGGGATAGTTCCAACCATAGATGGGTGCTGCCGCCTTTTGATCGTGTATATGGTTCTGGGCAGACCATTTGAATACCAGGTTTTGATTCTGACTCAGCTGGGTTTGCAAAAAAACACACACACATCATGAAGATCCAGGGCCCTGATTGATGGTTTGCAGCTTCCCCTTCACAACTAGCTGCTGTTTGATCCAGAGTCGTTAAATGATTGAACCTGGGCCCTTCAGGTGTTGTTTAAATTACCCAAGGGAATTTGATATAGCCAAAACAACCAATAGTTTTATACTCGTGACTCATGGTTTGAACGTACCCCTAAAAGCACCCAGCCGGAAAAACGCCGGCACTCTGCAGGCTTTCCATGATCTCTGGAGCCTGCCTGGTGGTAATCACGGCGCGGTCGTGGGCCGGAGAACAGCTTTGCTCTTCCCATCTATATTTATGTGCATATGTGTATATATATATAAGCCGGGTACAAGCCATCTTGGTGGATTCATTTTGCCGGTGCGGGGAAGTTCGGCCAAAGTAGACCTTCATCAACAGGTTTTGGGCGCTGACTCTGATCGGATCTGACCTTTTGGTTTCTCTTTTCTGTTGGTCAAGCTCCCAAAGATGAATTAAGCCAAGCTGACAATTCGAGGTCCGTCGATTGGCTTGTGCTGCAACCTCTAAAGCTTTTCGGAAGGTGGCCCGCCCTTCCAAGTTGTTGAAGGGGTCAAAGACCCAACCGAAGCAACAGTAAATCGAGTGTCAGGGCTGGTAACGACTGAGGCGTACACGCAATTCTGAGGATCTGTTACATTTTGGCCCTAGCCACGGCGCACACAGAGATGATTCACGTGAAAATAATTTGATGGATGAAAACCCTGTGGGCATGTTCCAAAATTTGGAGCCCCTTCAATGGCATGGTATCATGTTGGTCTCCGAAACTCGTGTAAGATGGTCCCACACCAGTTGTCTTGGTTCACTGCCGTCGTGCGTACAGGTACAGGCTCAGAGACCCGGTTGCCGAGTATGTCAGTGGGATTTTAGGCCATGGCAGGGTGCACATAGGGGTCCGAGTGAGGCGTCAATTGCCAAAACGAGTGGAATGCACCAGACATGTTGACCCAGCTCGAAAAGACTGGCAGAGCCCCACACCCTCCTCTCTGAAAGGTAGTTGGGGAATCAGGTTTTCCCTTTGGATCAACCAGGTAAGAGGGCCTTGCGGATTTTTCGCTTTGCCAGGCCCTGTGCTTTGCGGTGTACAGGAACTCCTCAAAGCTCCGGCAGCCTGTGACCTGCCATGAATCGGTGACTTAATTTGGGTATGGGTCAAAATGTTCAACAGGGTTGTGGTTGATCACTCGGGGTTTATCCAACCACTTCTGTGATACTTTTGGGAATCTCCTCTTTATATCACGGTTGTTGTTGGGAAGCATTTTGCATTTTTGCTTATTGTGGTTAAGTGGGAAACCCCCACTGAACTGCTAAGATTTGATTTTTTCTTTGCTCCCCTTCCAACGTCAACCAAGACCTGGGGGGTCCGTCTTTGGGGAGCTAGGCCCTTTTTGTTGTACCACAGAAGTGGAGTCCATGTCCAGCCCTGAAGTGTTTTTTTCTTCTTTTTTTTCCGGCAGGGGGCCACAGGTTTTAGGTTCAATTGGTCCCAGTTCCCAGGGCAACCCAATTTTTGACCTCGGCCATGTTGGTGCTGTGCCCCCTCCAGGTCTCGCAAAGTTGGTTTCTGCTGCTAGAGACATCGAGTCCCAAAGTCCCAAAGTCAGGGAGACAAGGCACATCTCAAATGCGCCTCGCGTCCTCGTGACTTGAGATTGGATAGATTGGCATAGACCCCGGTGAGGCCATGAGGGAGTGACCAACCAGCAAACCCACCAAGCCACCAGTGGACCATACGAGCATTGTTCACTTTTCGAGTTCATGGATTTCGAGAAAAAAGAAGAAGAGAAAAACACGTTTGAGTTGTAAACAAAAAGTTTGACTTTGTTTGGCCAGTCCACTCGATCGGAAGTGAGGAATAGTGACCTGTTCTGCTTGTACCAGTCCGTTTCGAGGCCTTTTTCCGCGATCTGAGGCGCGCGGACCGCCGGAGCAGGTGGTGGGAAGGCCCATCTCAAGCGACTGGGACTTGCCCTTGGCCCCTTCACGGGTTGGGCATATCCGTGTGGATTGGTCCTCACCGGGGGTGTCCTGTTTGTTTCATGACAAGCCCAAAAAGGAGATGAAGCCAGCACTGCCCCAAACAGCAAGTGCACACATCAGCTCGTCTCAATTGCAGACAATGACTCTTTGCGCTCTCGTAAACATGTCTTGCAACGGGGAGACGAGCTGTGGCAAGGTCTGAGTCAGCAAGTGCAATCAGGGAAAGTACAGTAGGGAAAGTGGGGAGACAGCAGGGGTACCAAGAAAAAGGCTCTTTGCAACGGAGAAGAGCTAAGCACCGGGAAAACATGGTTGGGAAACATTTTCCATTTTTGCTTTTGTGGTTTAGTGGGAAGTCCCCACTTAACTGCTAAGATTTGAATTTTTGCTCCCCTTCCAACGTCAACCAAGAAAAAGACCCTCCTGAGGGGTCGGGTGGCTTTTGGATTCTTTGGACAGGCCCCAGACTTCAAAGGATACAGAGCAATTTGGGGGATGGGACAAGGTGCAGAGTGTTTTGCCACGGTTGCACCCGGGTTCATGACCTTGGCCCAATAGAGCACAGTCCGGCAAACTTTTTGAGGAAACCCCTTCCTTTTGTGGTTTTCAAGGGAAACCAACATGAAAAACGTCATGTTGAGGGGTCCACTAAGACACCGTCCAAGAAGTTTCCGAGTGTTGTTGAGCCCTCATAGAAGCATGCCGCCGCCCCTGGAATTGTCGACCTATGTCACCTTTTATACGAAGTCGCTTCGGACATTGTTGGCTGGCACTATGCATTTTAGATGTGTATGTATTGGTGATTGCTTGGTATGTTGCTTGTCTCTATTATTTCATTCAATCAACCAATCATTTAATCAATTAGTCATTCATTGATTCATTGATTCATTTGTTAGTTTGTTCATTCAATTCAGTCATGGTTCATGTCACGCCATGTCATATAATTACAAATCATGTCCATTTACACTTACATTCACAATTCATTCATTCATTTGTTGATTCGTTCGTGCATGCATGCATTCATTCATTCATTCATTCATTCATTCATTCATTCATTCATTCATTCATTCGTTCGTTCGTTCGTTCGTTCATGCATTCATTCATTCATTCATTCATCCATTCATTCATTCATCCATCCATCCATCCATCCATCCATTCATTCATTCATTCATACATTCATTCATTCATTCATTCGTTCATTCATGCAGTCATTCATTCATTCATCCATTCATTCATCCATCCATCCATCCATCCATCCATCCATTCATTCATTATTTCTTTCATTATTTCATTCATTCATTCATTCATTCATTCATTCATTCATTCATTCATTCATTCATTCATTCATTCATTCATTCATCCATCCATCCATCCATTCATTCATTATTTATTTCATTCATTCATTCATTCATTCATTCATTCATTCATTCATTCATTCATTCATTCATTCATTCATTCATTCATTCATTCATTCATTCATT